TTACTCGTTACCCATAATGTTGTGGATGTTAAGTAATCTAAAGGGTACAAGTTTTACTATCCTAAACATAGTACGATAATTATTGAAACAGGTAATGTCAAATTCATTGAGAATTGTGAAATTAGTGGGAGTGATAAAAATAAGAATGTGATCATTCCAAAAGTTATGGTACAAATCTCTTTATCTATAACTTTTAAGGAAATAATTGTTGCTTCAGTTGTTGAACCGTTTAACAACGAAGAATAATTGAATGATCAACAACTCTATAATGAGATTGTCACCAATGAATAGATTATAGAAGAATCATAAGGAATAATATTAAGACGATCTCAAAGAGAAGGGAGATTTGCTATTCCGAATGACTATGCGATATATCTACAAGAATCTGATTTTAATATGTAGTGAGATATATACATATCTAGTTACATATTCATAAGCCATTAACAGTAATGATTTTACTAAATGGATTAGTGCCATGAATGAAGAGATTGAAAAGAAACATTCTCTCCAGTATATAAGAAGGAATCTTTTAAAATATCATGGCATTAGTAGCTTATTATGATGTAGAGTTATATCAAATTGATATGAATACAACTTTTATGAATAAGAGTTTATAAGAGGAAATCCATATAGAACAACCTGAAGGCTTCACATTAGAGGGTAAAGAATTCATGGTATGTAAACTTAAGATGTCAATATATGGATTTAAACAAGTTTCCTAACAATGGTATATTAAGTTTAATGATACCATTATTTATTTTGGTTTTAAGGAAAATACTGTTGATCAGTGTATATACTAGAAGGTTAGTGGGAGTAAGTTTATATTTTTGATTCTATATATTAATGATATTTTATTTGCTAGTAGTGATCTTAGTTTATTGTATAAAACTAAAAGTTATCTCTAAGAACTTTGAAATGAAATATATGGATGAGGTATCCTACGTGATAGGAATAGAAAAATTTCATGATAGATCACATGGATTTTTTAGAATTGTCTCAGAAAGCATATATTAAAAGAGTTATAGAAAGATTTGGTATGTAACATTATTAAACCAATATTGTTCCATACATAAAAGGAGATAAATTTAGCCTAATGCAATCCCAAAGAATGAGTTAGCTAGAAGGTAAAGAAACAAAGTATATTCCTTATGCATATATTGTGGGGTTTGATGTATATACTAGTTGGTAGGGGATAAAAGATTATACGCTCACACTAAGAAAAACATTTTTATAAATATGTGGATAATTATTAATTCAAAATTAGTTAATTTGTTATTTTTGATTAGAGGAACAATATTATGAAAAAGTGCAAAGTAATTTATTATTACTTTGATTATTATGAATTTTTAATTTGTAGCGTGCTTTGAGGTTACAATTTATGGTTGGAGAATTTATTTCAGTACTTAGAGTTACAGGTACCATTTCCAGATTGCTGAAAATTTATGCGATATTCTAAAGTTGAAATACTTTATCATTAACGAAGATATTTAGAAATAACGAATGTCTATCAAATATATGAGGACACAACTTATTATTGCAATCCATTAACGAATGGACTACCACCCAAGACATTTATGAAACATGTTAAAAAAATGAGTCTTGAATGTAGTCAATAATGATTATTTTTTTAATTGTGGATTGCTTAACAGTGCTTATATATATTTGACAGTTTGCGCTGATTAAATATGTTTCTTATATTTCCTATTAATTAATGTTCATGTACGTATTACTTTAATAAATGGTAACAGGAATAGTCTTGGTAAAGACATTATTGTTAGATCATTATTGATACTTCTCATTTATAGACTATGTTGAATAGGTTACTAGTGTTATGGTATATGGAATAGACTGTGTCATTTAGGGACATATAACCGCCATGACTCGCATTGGTAGTTTATTTACCATGATATTTATGATGACCAACTTAATGAGTTAATCTAATTTATGATGCACACTAATGACTATTTTACTAAATCACTATGGAAGTTATCATATGGGCCAGGTGGGAGACTGTAAGATTATTTATTAATTGTGTGGCTCACATGATTTGGACAAGTGATTTACTTCTATTATTTGGTGATTAAATAAAATAAATATCAGATTAATATTATATTATTTGGTCAACTTATAAATTACTTTTTTAGTAATTAATTATTGGAGAAGTGTTTTCCTATTTATTCCTTACTTTGATGGAAAGTGGAATTAAGGTTACTAAAAAGGAAAACTGGTCTTTTCTTTACATTTATAAAGTGCATATTCCCCATCAATTATGTACACTAATGAAAATAACACGTATAAGGTTTATTTGTGCAAAAGGTCAAGAGAGAATATCAGTTTCCACACTTTGACTTGCAGTTTATTACGTTTTTCGTTCCGCAAAAAAGATCTCGATGTTTGGCTTGATGATCTCGATGTTTGGCTTGATCTCAACAAGATTCTCAATTACAGATAGAGGTATTTATATCTAACTACTTTATTTATGCATTATAACGATGTGAAGATAATGAAGTTCTAAGATCTTAGGATTCATGTTTATTTGTGATTAATGATTTACACGAATAATTATAGTTTACATACGATAGAAGCGAATCGAATTAATTTTGATGCCTAATTCGATTCATATTCACCCCATATATATAGAGGGAGAAACACTGAGAGTTCAAGACGGACACACTCAAATCTGAATTTGAAAGGAATGAGGAGAAAGCAAGAAAATGAAAGAAATTGAGAAAATGGAGTTGTTTGTGAAGGCAATGTGGTTATTGACATAGGCTACCTCTAACTTAAAATAAGGGTAAGACAGAGAGAAAAATACAAAGAGAAACAACATGTAGAAACTGAAATAATATTTTGGATGGCAGCTTAGAATCAGGTAGAAAACGATATGAACATTAATGTAGAGAAACTTCACACAGAGATAAAAAGAAGAGAAAAAGAAACATTTTAAAAAGAAAAAGAAAATTGCAAGTTTATGTTTAGATGACTTAATTTATACTGTGTTTAAACAGATTGTAAGTGGGTGTCAACTCTTAACCAGCCAATTATACAATTTACTCGTCAACTAATTCGCTACTTAAATTACTCAAATCAATGGCTACTCCACAACGAATGAACGTTTTGCATTTACTCAAAAGATTAAATTATTAGATAATAGTGCATATTTCCTCATTTATGCACATTTTACTTTCCATCCGAATTCGATATGGGACAAGTATCTCTTGTAACATTATCTCTCACTTGAACTCACTACATCCTCGTTGCGATTGGGCCACCCTGCCTACCCGCGTGGGCTCATTCGGAAGCCTCCAGGTTAGGCAGTTGACGTGACACTCAGATTAAGGACTGAATCTAATTCTGATATCAACTGTAACGGGTGTGTGCTTACCCATTTACTCAAAAACTTAACCTATTAGATAGTGTTATATACTTACTCATTTATACCCATTTTACTTTCATCCGAATTCAATGTGAGATAAATATTTTTGTAACATTGAGCCACTATACATCAAGTGTGCAAAATGAATTCTAAAGAATTCCAAAAGTATGTAGAAAAAATTAAGGAGTGTTGGAGGATTCTAGAAATTTGAAATAATATATAGAATAGGGGTAGAACGTTATAAAAAGTGATAAATATCTAAGATATTTTTAGAAGAATTTTGTTTCCTACCAACTTAATAAGTCACCAATCAACAATAGACCCATTTTAATAAAGTTTGGAGATTAGCGTTTATGTAAGAAAGAGAGATACAAGAGATGAAAAACTGGTAAAGTCACGGAGACAAATTTGAAAGTTTTTAGGGGCAAATGTGAGATGAAAAACAAATGAATGGTGCGAAAAACAAATACATGAAGATGAAATAAAAAGTCAAACCCAAAGAGAATTTGAGAGCGAGATCTGTACATATTAGGCAGAAAAAGTTCAAAAGAATTTTAGAGGAGATAATTCAAACACAAATTTTAGAAAGATACCGAATAAAATTTGAGAGAGAGAGACATATGCATACATTTTGAGAGAGAAAAAGTTAAAATAGAATTACAAAAGTAATTTCATATTCAAATATTTGAGAGAGAAAATGATGAGAATTTGAGAAATATATACGGCGCAACCTGGTAAATTTTAAAATAATAAAACAAATGAGAATGAGTGTAATAAAATAAATTAATGGTGTATGAATAGCATGTAGGCAAATTTTAAAATAATAAAACAAATGAGTGTAAATATAAAAAGAAATGTGTACAATAAGAGAAATAAACCTTTAAAATTATTTTTCAGCTCTAAAATTATTTTTCGTTGACAAAAATTATATAGATTTCCTAATTCTTAGGTTTTCGTTGAGAAATATACATATGACCAGAATTAAAAATTCTCCTAATTAAGATCATCTCTCTCTAAATAATATATTTTTATTTCTTTTTAAGTTTCAAAACTTTATATTTTTATTTATTAAAATTATATACTTTTATATTTATTTTCTTAATTCTTTTTATTTCTTTTTAAGCTTCGAAATTTTTCTCCCTTTCCCTACTGATCAAATTGTTTCTGGCCATAATAACTGTACCTTTATGGTCAATTTATTGTTAAGAGTCTTCCTTGGAAGAGTCTGATCTATCTACTCGCATCCAGTTTTTTTGTTCGATGAGATTGCAGCTGACACCGAAAAGATCATTATTTCCCAAAGAAATTTCTGTGTTAAGAAATAATTTAGTCATTTAAGTCGTTCATCTATTGAAATATATTTTATAATAAAATAAACATTTTGGAGAAAAATGGTACAAAAATGGTACAAACATTATTTTTATTCCAAATCTAATTTTTCAAATCCAATTTGTTCCAACATATCCCTATTCCCAAAAGTAATTGGTTCCAAAAGTGTATAACAATGATCTTTCTCATGAAAAGTATAAATTTGCCCTAGCTTTAGATTTTTTTATGAAAATATAAAAATTTAACCTACTATATTATAAGAATCAAAAGTAGATAAAAAAAAAAATTTAAAAAAAGGCCTCAGAATTGCAGAATATAACATCAAGGCCATATAAAGGCCAATCAGTCCCGAAAGATGGTGTTATGTTTAATTGATTTCCTCACAGGCCAAAACACAACCATATATGTATATACACACACATATATATATAAATTCCTACATGTATACACGTATATATGTATATATGTTTGTGGAATGTTCTTCTCATGGCCAATCCCAAGAGGTAATGGCAGATCTGCTCCCCAAGGCGATAGGATATGAGAAGGCCCCCTTTGAAAGCAGGAAACTCAGGGAGTCTCGACTGCTAGGTCAAAAGGGGCTTGATCTGTGACGATTTTTCTTTAGAATTTACGAACATCGAATTTGTTCGCCCCAATTTTTCATAATCTAATCGTCACAACCATATCAGATATATATATATATATATATATATATATATATATATAAAACACATATTTCTATACATCATAGACACAGTACAACTAAGATTTCAGTGATGAAATAGAAAAAGATAGAGAGAGTATACAGAATGCTTAAGCACGCCATCATAAGTATAGACCGACGACATCAGTGATGAAATCGAAGAGAGATAAAGGGAAAGATATAGAGGAGGCTTACGCATAAGCCGTGCGCAGAAAAACCCTAAAAATTCAGCTGCAGTGTGATTGGGAATAATGGTTAGTCGGTTATTTATAGGGTCGATTGTTCTATTCTGGCCGTCGATTTTAATCTTGCGGTGGATATTATAAAACAGAAAACTATAGCGGTGATTTGCCTTTTTAGGGTTTAGGCTGTTTAGCTATAGCGTAATACTGGCTACTAAAATCATATATTATCATAGTTAAATGAAAATTTAAAATTTTGGGGGATAAATAAATGAAAATTTAAAATTTCATTCCACAAAAAACAGCATAATGTATTGTTAGCTAGGAAGTACATTTACAAATACGGAATGGAGGATATGAATACAATACAAACATGACAATATAACAAAAAATGATAATATAATATGTATTATTATATATATATATATATATATAAAAAATATTTTTTTGTCATTTTATTCATATAATCATAAATAAACAAATAATTTTAGAGTTTAGAGCTAGATGGTTTGTTGATTTTATTTTATTAAATTTATATTATTTTTAATTAACTCATAATATATTTTTAATTGCATTGAATTCTAACTTTCAAAAAAACAATACAAAATCATTTGGTCATGTCATGAAAATATCCAAAACATATCATTGTCGTATTCGACCAAAAAAAAAAATTTATTTACTATTTAGAATATTTATAACCGTATCCAATACGTGTTCAGGCCATATCTGTATATCCATGTAGTGTCTGATATCATCACGGCACCTTAAGAGAAGTGTTCGTGCTTCCTAAATTGTTAGTTTTTTTTTTTTTTTTTTTTTTTTTTTTTTTTTTTTTTATGATAATCCTTCCAACACTTTTTCTATTCCGATTTGATGTGTAACAAGAACCTCATGTGCTTCCTAAATTGTTAGTTATATAATTTTTTTCCCTTGTAACTTTTTAATGATAAAAATTTTTAAACATTTTTTCCATTTGAGTTTTATGTGCGACAAGAACCTATCGGGCTCTTCGCACAACACTAAATGAAAAGATTGGGTTTGACTAATACCAATTGTAGCGGGTTGGGTACGTACATGTTGACAAAAAAAACTCAATCTATTTAGTAGTATTGCACATTCACCTATAAATACTCAAAACTCTTTTCATTTGGATTTAATGTGAAACAAATATAAATTGTTACAAAAGGCTAAATGATTGGGTATTATGGGTTAACCATTAGCACCACATAATAATTTAATTTTTTAAGTCGAATTGAGGAACATCTAATCAATTACAGTTCGTACCAAAATTAGAATTAGTTATTGATTTAATGTCACGTCAAACGTCTTTCTCATAAATGTTGGGTCAACAGGGTAAGTAAGGTGGCCCAATCATACAAAAGCATGAAATTCAGGTGGAAGGAAATATTACTAGGGATAGAATCTAAATTAAAAAGTGATATATAAAAACTTTGTGGTAACACTACCTAGGTTCAAGCTTTTAACTTATGCCAAAAGCGCTGGGACTCATGAGTCAACAACTTGTGTCAATCTCAATAGATAGTATAATGACAAATATCATCTGTGGAGGTTGAGAGTTCCAATTCCATTGGTAATTACTTTTTTTTTAAATTTTTTTAAACAAATTTTGGTAATTACTTGATGCACGTGGAAAGTCTGTGTTATAACTTATAAAAACAACTCCAATTGCATTTCAAAATTTTTGTAATTTAGGTTTGCCACATGAGCATTTTTTAAAAGTCACATCAATATTTTAGACTCTCTAAATTTTAATTATTACATTTGTTCCGATGTTATGTTTTTGCTTTCCAAAAATATTAATATTTTAATTTAAGTTGCATTTGTTTGTTTTTAATATGTTATGAAATTTTATGTAACATAATATTTATTATGTAATTTTTTTTTGGGAAAAAATGATTAATTTTTTTTAAAAATTAAACAATACGATATTCATTATAGGTTGATGTATTTATTAAAGAGGTGGAAACAAAGGTAATTTTTTTTAGGAACAAAATAAAAAGCAATAGGCTTAACGGCTGTAATTGCAGTACTTGTGCAAAAAAAAAGAAGAATTGCAATGTTTGTGTCAGCTAAACATGGCCTCAACTGGGCTATTTGCTTCAGCTTTGTTGGAAAAAAAGGCCCAAAAAAAAATGATTCTTGGCATTTTTTTAAGCCAAAAAGGTCCTTAAAAAAAAAAGAAAAAAAGGGTGGACTGCTACAGTATGAGCATTTAGAGAAAAAAAAAAAAAAAAAAAAAAAAAAAGCAGCTGGCCCCCGCATGCGGGCCTGCAGATCGCCAAAAAGAGCGGACCACATAATGATTCAATTTGCCCAGCCCAATTTTGCTGGCCCTCGTTGGATTGGATCATAAAAACTGATCTGGGCTTGTTGAATTACCATCATTGGACCTGTTTAGGGATGACAATGGGGCGATTTGGGACGGGTAACTACATCCCCATCCCCATCCACATTTAGAATAGCAACCCCCATTTTCGTCCCAAAATAGTTTATTAAACGGAGCAGGGTGAGGCGGCCTAGGCTGGACGAGGATGGTGCGAAGGCATTTTTCGTAAATTGTTTTCGTTATTGTTATACTAATTTAATGAAAGTAAATAATAAAGCAAATTTTCAATTATGATCATAATTTTTTTCTTTTTATGCGAATAAAAACAAGATTCAACCTCTCAACTGAAACTAATAGACTAAGATTTGATTTACCTAATTATTGAATATAAAATAAAATATAGAGATAAAATTATAATTTATCAATATAAATGAAGCAGGGCGGGGTGACCTTTCCCCATCCCCGTCCCATAACCATACGGGATCTCAATCTTAACCCCCATCCATGTCCCAAAATTATTTAACCACCTTTATAACCATTTTTAATAGGCGGGGTGGGCAGGTAGACCTATCAATAAATCGAATTTTGATTCGAATCCGATCCAAATATGATGTGATTATTCGGATATGGATTGCAATTTTTTTTTGATAATTCGATAATAACCCGTCTTTTACGAGTGTCTGGATCTCTCGTGAAAACTTTTCTAAAAGGGTATTCCTACAACGATTTTTTTTTCCTTGGTCCGGAAGTGGCTCCCTTAGAAAAGGTTGCTCCCGACAATCTGTTTTCTTAACAAATCGGATATGGATCATAGTTACTCCGATTTGATAATAATCCAATCCGATAAAAATTATATATATATATATATATATATATATATATATAATATTATTAGATTACAATATAATTATATATATTAGTTATTTACTATATTAAATTTATAAATATAATTATTTATCACTATACTCGTTTGATTGCATAGTTATATCATCTTATATATTAAAAACTCTTTGCTCCATCTAACCATGTAGCAATGCATGTCATTTTAATATTTTCTTTGTCGAAAACATAATAATAAAAAATAATCTGAGTTTGAATTTGTTTTGGTCCAAATCCAATATAATAATATATGTGTCACAATTTTTAATCCTATAAATCCGTAGCCATTCGAATATGATAATTCGTTAACTTAATAAATTCAATATAAATGTGTACATTCCAATCTGAATTCTATTCATTGATAGGCCTATGAGTACTTTGCACCTGCTCTCAAGAATGAAAAAAGAACAGAAGCATCCCTACAAATACACACAATTTAGATGGAGGCATAGACCCTGTCGTGGTCGTCTTGGAAAAGTTGTGGACAAATGTACCCTTAAAATCCGGCGAAGGTCGAGCCATTGACTTAATGTCGACATGTTATTCATTCTTCAAAGGCCGATACTCTGATTTTCCATAGACACACCTCCTTGTGTTGTAGACTCTGTTTGTTCCTGAGAAGAGAGAAAAAAGAGGGGGGAGAGGCACAAATCAGACTTCCGTAAAAGGTAAGCACCGAAAAAACATTTCTTTTATTATTATTATTTTTTTTCATTTTCTTTGATTGAAGAAACAAATGAATGAAGCTTAACACCATATCCATGTAACAGAAAATAGCAGAGACCAAAAAAAAAATAATAATAATAAAATAAAATAAAATAAATTTTAAATCCAAAATTCACTCAATTTCACCAAATTTCGACGAAAATTTTCTTTTTAATACTCTACGATTGCTAAACCACTGTGTTCTTTCTTCGTTTTCAGCATCCAATAAGAAATTATCTTCAGCCCTAGCTTCCAATTCTCGTCTCTTGTTCCTTCTAAGATTTGTAGCATTTCGGAGAAGTTATATAATCTTTTATCTGTGAAACAAATAGCAACATTAATTATGGAGAATTGTATGGAATTCTTTTGTTGGGTAAAGGGTAAAATGTTCAAGTAGTTAAAAGTTGGTTGAACCTTAGGATCAATTCTTTTCCCAATTTGGAGGAACTCCCAAATTTCTTCTACTACTTTTCTTTTTGTTTTAATTGATTATTAGGTTTTGAAAATATGTGCATATAAAACTCTCAAATCAATCTATGCATGTAAAACTCTCAGATCAAATCAATCTATGCATCAGACTATGTTCTGAAAATAATAATACATTAATGTTGTGTTTGGGGAGCACCTTGGATATGAAATTGGAATTGAAGAAAAATTAGTTGAAATTTTGAACTAATTTTTTTCCAATTCTAAAGGGCTGATTCGGTGCTTCCAAACATAGCATAAGAGAATAAGGGAATTGAAGTCGCTTTAAGAAATCCCATCATCCTTTTTATGTTTTCATTTGTATAGCTACACTGCCCATGGTGGAGGGATTATGAAATGAAAAAGTTTTAATGCATTTGTTTTGATTTTCAAAAAATCTCTTTTTCTTTGAAGAAGAACAATGGTGATCACGGATGACTTAGCCATAAATTCAAAAATGTCACCACCAAATTCATTTGGAGCTGTCGTTCTTGGAGGTACCTTTGACCGACTACATGATGGCCACCGTCGTTTCCTCAAGGTTTTCATTCACTTTATCTTCTTTTAAACAAACCCCCACCATCCTCTGTTAGTGTAACACTGACGTCATGGTTGTGTTTTTTTTTGTAGGCAGCGGCGGAGCTGGCTAGGGATCGCATTGTGGTTGGAGTGACTGACGGCCCTATGTTGGTCAACAAACAGGTATATGTTTACTAGTAATTTTATTTAGGTTACATATGATGTAGTTGTGCACATAACGGCACACATTTTAAAATGATTTTCCTAGTTCAAGATTATCCACTTTGATTTATGATTTAATTATCGGTATTCATGTACATGTTACCACTTTTGGTGTGTGATGTATAATCATTTAGGTTGTATCTTATTGTGGAATCATAGTTGGTCTGCCATTGTTTTTTTTTTTTTTTTTTTTTCTCTCTATTTTTGGTTTTTTTTTTTTTAATTGTCATTTTTCATTGTTGTTCTCTTCTTTGTTTAATGTTAATGGCAGACTTATGATTAGCCTTCAAACGTGCTAATCATATATCTTTGCCATATCAGTCAAATTTTACCTAATTAGCAAATTTGTGGTGTGTTTAGGAGCAACGTGCAAGGAAGACAGACTTATGATAAATATTAGAACAATTTTTTGCCCTTTTAAAGGGTAGTTCTTTCAGAAAAAAATCTACCCTAATAAATGGCACCTGCATTGCATTAAACTTAATTAATTTTACTGATTTGAGATGTATTGGGAGCCACACTCGAGGATTACAGACTTCTGATTAATATTACGATGATTCTAATGATCTTCCAGAGGGTGGTCCTTTCAGAAAAACTATTCTCTAACAAATGGCACCTGTACTTATGCAAATTGCATTCTTCTTATTTAAACTACTTCTCTTCTCTTCCAACAGTGGTTAAAAAAAAAAAATCCAACTTCAGAAAAGTTCCGACTTCCAATACAGCTCAACTTTAAAATGTGGATACCATAAGATTGTTGCTGAAGCAATATCTAATATGATAATATAAAAAAAATAAAAAATACTAAAATTTCTTGTAAATATTTGTTGAGGTGATTGTTTGATCACCAGTTACAACTTACCACCCGCTCTTTTATTTCTTAGAATACCATTTGAAGGACAGTGCTGTTCTAAGTTAAACGGGTTTCCTTCTATCATGTCTGCTAAATGCTCTTTATTTATTGCCAATTATCATCTCATGTTGTTTCCGCTCCTCACAGTCAGACTTTGCTATGTCTCTACAGTAGAGATTAGTCTAATTAAATGTTTTTTGTTCTTGTTTTTGCAGTATTCTGATCTGATAGAGCCCATTGAGAGAAGAATGCAAAATGTTGCAGATTATATAAAGGTAGTGAAGCAAAGAACAATGTTTTTTGTTCAGTTCAATTTGTGTCAAGTGTAAACCATTATTGAAAACTTCAAAGGAAACTGGTTTCTGCACCAGATCTGCGGTGACTACAGCTGCATAGACTATCAATTGTAGTTGAGATGATGGGTTTGAAGCGGTTCATATGTCCCCTAATATCCTTTTGATGTGTCTCAATTTTCAGCTCCTTTGTGATCTGCTATATGCCCAAACTTGAGGTGTCCATTTTAAAAAAGGAATAGAGTGAATACAAATATATCGGTATTTTATCATGGCAAATGCAAAATGAGCTGAAATCTGCTGCATGAGTAGACAGGTAGCTTAATGCATTGACCATCAAACCAACTTCCTCAGATGTAGCCCCTTAGGAGTGAGGATGTAGGTTCAGGATTGTGAGCAATCTCTTTGTGCAAAGTAATGTGAAAGGTTATTTACCTACACGCACACAAAAACAAAAACAAAAACAAAAACAAACACAAACAAACAAAAAAAAGGAAGAAAAAAATATCAAAGGTTATGTCTATGACTTGCCCCAATTTGCAATTAATGACGAATAAGCAAAATGGCCCTGGATTGAAAGGCTGGAAACATAAGGATCTTTGGTGACTCAATTGGGGAGGAACTTTAGGACATCCTTGGGGAAATGCACCCTGGTGCCGTAGATAACCCTTCCAGACCCCACACAGGTCAGATATATGCTTAAAGATGCCCTTATTAGGCAGTATGTCCTATTTTTATTCATTCTAATGAGTCTTTGTTTTTCAAAAAATAGAAAGTAAATGAAAAGGTCTGTGTAAGTCCTTTTTGCTGCACTTGCATGTATTGAACATATTTTCACTTCTTATACTTGTGGTGGTGATATGTGACATTTTTCCTGCAATTTTTCAGTCTCTGAAGCCAGAGCTGGTAGTGCAAGTTGAACCTATTACAGACCCTTACGGTCCTTCAATTGTTGACGAGAATTTGGAGGCTATTGTTGTCAGGTCCTTTGCTTGATTAAGAATTTTCTTCTGTCTCCTTCTTTCCTATCTTTACTCTCGAGTTTGATTATATGGTTAAGATCTTAGATTCATCGTGACAATTTGTTTCTATTAATGTTTTTTCCTTCATTGTCCTGAATGTATGTGTTTTGTCAATGAAATTTAGCTAATTGAATTTATTTGTCCATCAGCAAGGAGACATTACCCGGTGGACTGTCTGTCAATAAGAAGAGAGCTGAGAGAAGCCTCTCACAACTAAAGGTTTGAGTTCTGGTTTTGCATATATTTGCCCAACTGCATGAAATTCTCAGTGCGATTTGTGGAACTACATTGCTAGTAATTTCTTGAGCATGTTGTAAAAAATAAAGCTGCAATATTGAGGATCCTATGCAGGTTGAAGTTGTAGATCTAGTCCCTGAAGAATCTACTGGAAATAAAGTGAGCTCCACAACATTAAGGAGGCTTGAGGCTGAGAAGGTCAGGAAACTTCAGCTAGAATAAGAGGTATTCCTGCTTGGAGTCTATTGAAGAATCAAAAGGGTTTTCTTTGATGAAGTTTGTTTATCCATTTTGTTTAATTTTCACGAAAATGTAAATAATAGATGGAAACAGAAAATTAGCGTTTCCACGTAATAAACTACTCTGGTTTCAATTTTACATCTTGTTAACTCTTTGTAAAAGGAATTTAATATAACACCATTATATTCATTGGGTCTGGTCAGCACCACATGACTACTCTTCCTGGAATATATTAGTCAATTGTGGGAATATATCTATATATAAGCCAATTTATCTTGGAAAATACTCTTTTAAGTCTTAGCTATGGTAAAGCACACCGGTGGCTGCAACCACAGGTTGCATTGTTGGATGGTTCTGCCTCTTCCTCTTTCACTCACGGACCATGAATTTTCATGGAATTAGATTTTTATGAAGTGTTATTGTGTTATCTACAGCCTTCTAGTAATGATATGTTGTCTTAGACTATTGAACTCACATTGCCTCTTTTTTTTTTTTACTTTCAAGTTTAGCATGCGAATCTAGATTCAAAGCGACATTGATGTATCATTGATGCAATCCTGTGGTGAAGTTGTTATAATTAGAGAATAAGAGTAGATGTTGTATGCAAATATGAGGAACATAACATAGTTTCCGGCATCATCAGTTTTGTGTTAGAACAAATGGATCCTCCTCCTCCAACAATTTGAAAGACACCATAGAGACTCTAGATTGATTGAACAAGCTGAGTGGTATTCAAGCTTTGCTTGCTCCACATGGATGATGAAGTCAGTAGTCTTTTGCCTTAAAAGCGCCATTTTAGGAATGAGGATTGCAGAATGTGAAATGCTTCATTCTTTTCCCAAAATTTTGTCCATTTGAAAGGATCACTTGGAGGAGATTGAACTTGCTGTTCATGGAGTTCTGAATTAAATCTGTATATGATTTAGTTTCCTTGATCACTCCTATTCTGTGGGTTTTTTTTTTTTTTTTGGGGTGGGTGGGGGGGTTGAGCATTTCCGTGTGCTAACAGCTGGTGAGAAGGATATTACTTGATGTATCGCACCTGTATTAAACGGGACCTTCCTAGCCATTGAATGTTTTCCTGACTGATCGATTTGTGATAATGGTGATTTCAATTGAAAATCATTTCTGTCTGTGAAGTATATATGATTCTATGAACATAGATGGTAAGCTTATGATTATCAAAATTTTGGTAGCAAGTTAATGAATAAGATGAAATTTTGCGATAATATATGTCACATTTGTAGAATAAACTAGAAATGGTATTATTTTTAAACTCAAATGCAGTTTATTTATTTAAATATTTACAATAATGTTGTTATCACTTTAGAGATTGTTCTGTTTAGCTCAGATGAGTAGCCTTAGAAAAATTGTGTTTTGATCTTTAGTCTTTACTTGCAAATTAGCAATTCAGGAGTCATTCTATGAGGTAGTGAAATATATGATTTTAAATTTCTTTTTGAGATTTAGACTTTTTGTACATTCTTTACCGATAATAAATTGTACAATTTCTAAACTTATTATTATTATTAATAGAGGAGAATGGATTTTATAGAGAACACGTGTGTCTATAATAAACCTCTGTCTATAAAATCCATCACAGAAACCCATCTTCTCTATCACAGAAACCCATCTTCTCTCTCGGGCTTAGATCATTCAAGAGAGAAGGCATGTGGGTCAGATGACGGCGAGAAGCACCCAGACGATATACGGGCTAGAGTTGACGGCGCCGGCGACAAGATCCCCGGATTTTGAGAGGATCCGCGGCTAAGATCGGATCGGCGATGAGGTGGAGGCCGACAATGTGGGTCGGCGATGAAGTTAATCAGCGGCGTGAAGATGATCCCTCTTGTGACTCCGACCCCTGAGTTTGGCGACGGCAGGGATGTGGCCGTTGAAGACAGAGACAGTGATGTCGCCGTTGAAGACGGAGACAGTGTAACAGATCCGGCAGCGGCGACGGATCCGGCGGAGATCACTGGTTCGGTCGACTGTGATGATCTCTGGAGCCAGCGAAGATGGAGATGGCGGTTGAGACAGATCTGGTGATTGGATGGCGGGTCGCCGACTGAGCAGAGAGTTGAAGCGGTGAGGGTGCGAGAGAACAGATCGCCGTTGGCGATGGCAATAGATCGCGACGGCCGCACAAGCTTTGAATCCCTTGAATCCGGCCAAGGTGGAGCCGGATCCCGAAGACTATGTGGTTTTCTGGTGGTTCCTTCAACGGCGGCCAATATATATCCGTCGGCAACGAAGGCTCCGAAGCTGAGAGTTTTGCGGCGGCGAATCGAGGTGGATACGAGAGAGATCCGGCAGAGGGTTTTGAGATCGAGGGCTAGGCCGTGATGGAGCCGGTCGGCGGTGAGCTTGCCAGTGGAGGGCTCGGCTTTGGATGATGGTGTGGGCTTGCGGCGGTGCTTGGAGAGAAGAAGAGAGGAAGAACTGAAGAGAGAAAATGGGTTTGTTTGATGGGTGGATCCGGATAACCCAATTTGATTCAGTATGATTCATTTTTTATATTTTGGACAGGTGTCAAGTTTTCATAGGGTGGAGGACAAAACTTGTCTTGATAGGGCAGGACCCAAAGCATTACTCGACTTTCAAGGGGCTTGAAGTTCGTAAGGAAGCTTTTTTGGAACTCGAGAAGCAGTTTGATGCTATCCCTGTTGGGAACTGGGATATATTGAAGGCCATTTGGGAAGAAGCCTCGCAGGAAAAACCCTGATGATTAGTCTATTTGCGTTATTGCTTTAACCCAATTCAATTATTAAGTAATAACGCAAATAGACTAATCATCAGGGTTTCTCCTGCGAGGCTTCTTCCCAAATGGCCTTCTTTGTACCCCAGTTCCCGACCGGGATAGCATCAAACTGCTTCTCGAGTTTCAAAAAAGAGCTTCCTTACTAGCTTCAAGCCCCTTGAAGTCCACTCCACTATGGCTTTGGAGACACATGTCCTCCACTTGGTCCTTCACTCGCACGTCCTTCAGTTGGAGCTGTGATGTTGGAGGCCACAGGATCTGCGTTGTTGACCTCAGTTGGAGTGTTGGAAGGGGGAGGATCTGTGTTGTTGATCTCGGTTGGAGTGGTATTGTTGGGAGACATGTTTTGTTGGACTGATTGATGCCAAAAACAGATTCTAGAGTGAAGTTGTTATAATTAGAGAATAAGAGTAGATGCAGCTTGATGTTTTATTTTTATTTTTGGTGGCTTCTTGATGTTTATTTTTCGGCATTTTAATTGAGGTTCACTTTGCTTATGTTCATGGAGTTTTGAATTAAATCTGTATATGATTTAGTTTCCTTGATCACTCCTATTCTGTGGCTCTTTTTATACAAGACTTAAATTAATATCCCTTTAAAAGAAAAAAAGTACAATGTCAACTGTTTCAGAAATGAAGCAATGAAAAGATTATTTGGCAACAGAAGCTTTTAATTTGTGTTTGGAACTTGTATTCTCTTTTGTTGTATGGTTCTAAATATTCTTGGAGATGGATCAAATGAGGAAACATGTGCAACTTGATCAAATGAGGTATCTCAGAGCTCTATTATCTATATTTCCTGTTCTTACAATTGAAAGTCAATGGTGATTTTATTTTATTGAAATTTCAGCTTTTATGTGTTTGTGTGTGTTCTGAATGTGTAATTGTCAAGCCTAGAGAGCTTAATTATTCGGGTTTGAGTCTACAGAAAATATACCCTTCTTGAGTAAAAAGGAAATACCAAAGTACAAATTTGTTGTTTGAGTTGATTAATGCTTTTTTGCCTTCCAAATTACGTGACGAATAAAATTTATTGAAATTTGTTGGCATATTAATAATTAATGGTCTTATGAGGATGGAGAGTCAAATTGTCTAAATTTTTTTTTATGGAATTACTTTGTCTAAATTTTTTTCAAAGTTTTAGGCTTGTGTGAATATCTTGATCCAAATTCATCACATAAAACTACCTAATTTAGAGTTCAAAACAAATTAAAATGTCATATGACCATTATCCAGCGTGATACACGATAATCAAGATTATTTGAAGGAAGATAGTAGAAAATTAAAGAAAATAATAGGTGATTTGAAAAAGATGGTATAGAATTAAGGAAAATAATAAGTGATCTGAAAATTAGATATATCTCTATGTATAGAATAAATGAAAATGATAAGTGGTCTGAAAATGAGACATATCACACTATATTTATGTGAGTAATGTTATCTCTCAGTTATCCACTGCTTTATATAAATGTAGTTGGATGTGTTTAATTTTCGAATTCTGTATTATAACTTTAAAATAAATTATCATATTGTTTTCCCTTTTTGAGCTTTAATAAACATGATAAATTATCATATCTAGAATTGCATAATATTATGACGGCACAACATTATCATTCCAAAGATAAGAATTGCCAAACGAAACGGCATCTGTAAAATGCCTTCGTGAAACGCTGCCGTTTGGCAATTGTGTACCCTCCCACTTCAGCGGGATTATATAACGTAACGGCTATTTCCAATCAACGGAAGTTTTCAAATATTTGAACCCCAATGATCGCGATCTTTCGCTCTCTTATAACTTCCAAAACCTAGAGAGAGAGAGAGAGAATCGGTATTCGGAAGACTTACAGCAGATAGACCCATTGAAGTTCTCAAAGGTTCGAACAAACCCATTTTCAATTTCTTCATTTCCTTTCTGTTTTTCAATGAATTTGATTAAAGATTCAGGACTTTTGAAGTCTCAGAGATTTTTCTAACCCTTTTCTTTTCTTTTCTTCATGTACTCGTTCCTTTTTTTTTGACATTTCATCATAAAGTTTAAATCCTTTTGATGATTCAGATTATATTGGTGGTGGGTTTCAAGTTTCAACTCAAACCTTTGATTCCAAGAAATTAATCTTTTAATTTCGCATCTGAAAAGAAGGTATCAAAATTCCTCATCATTTCCTCTTTTACAATACGCTTGCTGTGTGTTATTTATGTGCGTAGTTATACGTGTGTGTATATATATATATATATATATATGTACATATACATATGTAAATGATGATTGTTTATATAGGATTATATCGTTTTCTTGCTTTCTTATGTATATGATTGTATATATTGAATCATATCGTTTTCTTGATCTCTTTGCTGGTGGGTCTCGAAGAATTGCAGTCAAGATGAATGATTTAATGACAAAGTCATTTTTAAGTTATGTGGAATTGAAGAAACAGTCAGAGATTGATATCAAAGCAGAGACTGACTTGGAGAAAGGCCAACTCTGCCCCACAGATGAAGAGAACCTCTCTAAGTTCTTTGAAGGAGTCGAAAAAATCAAGGATGAAATGGAAGAGATCACTAATCTCCTGTTTGATCTTCAATCCCTAAATGAAGAGACCAAATCCACTCACAGCACCAAAGTACTCCGAGGGTTGAGGGACCGGATGGACTCGGACATGGTTGATGTCCTCCGCAAGGCCAAGACTATGAAGGAGAGGCTAGAAGCCCTCGACAAATCGAACGTGACCAATCGGAGGATCTCAGCAGCATATAAGGAAGGAAGCACAGTTGATCGAACGAGGATATCGGTCACGAATGGTTTGAGGGCCAAACTTAGGGACATGATGAATGATTTCCAGTCACTGAGAGAGAGAATTTTGTCAGACCATAAAGAAGCTCTGAGGAGGAAGTACTACAACGCCACCGGTGAAACGCCCAGTGAGGAAGTGGTTGAGAAGATGGTTTCAGGGAGTGTGAAACTCGATATCTTCGAAGGGAAGACAGAGTTGAATCTGGAGAACAAGGAGAGGCATGAGGCTGTGATGGACATCCAGAGGAGTTTGAACAAGCTCCATCAGGTGTTTCTCGACATGGCGGTTTTGGTGGAGACACAGGGTGAACAGATTGAGGATATTGAGCAGAATGTGGCCAATGCAGGAGGGTTTATCAGTGGAGGAACCAACAGTCTTTTCTATGCTAAGCAGATGAAGAAAAAGACCAAGAAATGGGTGTATTGGCTTTGGGCTGTGGGGCTGATGATATTGCTGGCATGCGTCATTGCAATGTTGTCTTCTTGAATTTTGAGTTTCAAGTGAAAAGGGGCATAGCTTAGAAGTTCATTTTAGGTTGTTTCTGAGTCTGTAAATCCTTTGTAGTAGAGCTTTTCTGATCTCTCTAGGGTTTTTGCTTGTTTGTGGGCTGCAAACTTTTTCTGCATGTGTCATTTCAATTGAGATCCATATCTGGATACATTTTTGGATTTCTATGGAAATGTTCAGCAAAAATTATATTTGGTTCCTTTAGTTAGCTTAAGTGGATCTTAATGTGGATTTCATTTTTGTTTATTTGCTTGTGTTTTTATATCCTTGTGCCTGTATTTTTTTGTTTTTTTTTTTTTATTTTGGTTTTTTTCTGGCTATGTAAAACTCAATTTGGATAGGGGTAAAAACATGAGTAGACGAGTGTGAGGATGCATGTTGCTAGGCAAGACATACATTGGGCAGTGAACAATTAGATTCATGAGAATTATGTAGTGAGAGGACAGGTGTGTGTGTGTGTGAGAGAGAGAGAGAGAGCTTGAAATTTTATTACCAGCTAATAGAGAAGAATACTTATATAGACTCGTATTCAATCAAAGATACATCAACCTGATATAATTTTTATTAGCATTAGGAAGTACACCTTCTGTTTTACCCAAAAGTTCTTCAAAACAGGAGTTAAAAAAAGAGAAGTAAAGAGGAAATAAAATAAAAAAAATAAAAAAAGAAAGAAAGAAGGGAAAATGATGCACATGAACACTTCATGCAGTGCTTAGATGTTGAGTAGCAGTCCAAGAAACACTTCAGGATCTAGATGAACTTCTCCAATCTGAGGTAAACAAGACAAAAAACATAATTAACTTTCATGATGAACAGTTAGTCATGAAGACCTGTTGGATTAGGAATAGCATCAAAAGAACTGTTCACATGAACACTTCATGCAGTGCTTAGATGTTGAGTAGCAGTCCAAGAAACTTCAGGATCTAGATGAACTTCTCCAATCTGAGGTAAACAAGACAAAAAACATAATTAACTTTCATGATGAACAGTTAGTCATGAAGACCTGTTGGATTAGGAGTAGCATCAAAAGAACTGTTCAACCAGCAATCAAGAACGCGTTCGATATGATTTATTGGGGCTGTAACTCATTCAATGGATGCATCGGCAACACATTCGTGTAGCATCAATACCTTGGCATTTTCAACGCAGACGAAGTCTTTGTAGCATGCTTCCATTGTCAGATGTGGATTCCACAGAACAGCATCAGACCAGCTGCATCAAGACAACGACAAATCCAAATAGATGAAATGCAAAACTATTGATTAAAACAAAACAAAGCACCACAGAAAGTTTCCAACTTACTTTCTACTCCGGATAGATATTACATCACCCAAACCGTTATCAAGTAGCACGTCATTAGGGGCTTCAAGGTAAACACAGTCTACAAATCCCGGAAAAGTGATCACATCCCTGTGTGTGAAGATAGAAGTTAAAAAGACTCAAAAATTATCTGCTGCAAGAATCAGTAAGATAATTTCGGCAGTCTTAAGTTATGAGAACTCATGAAAATGAGAAGTTTCTTTGTCTAATAGAGCAATGTGCTTTTTGTGGACAGCTTGTTTATAGGCTTTTGTAGTTTCTGTTTTGTGCATCATATAATTAGGTAATGTACCACTAGGTTCCCTACCTGTTGGCCGCACCGTTTAAATTCTTCCTAACTGTGAGAGTTTGTTGGATCGAACAGTGATATTTTGCACACACAAGACACATATAGTTACGTAATGTAAGTCGACATGCTTCATTTTCCTAAGACAAAATTAATGAAATAGGAAAATGCAAAGTATCTATTATACGATGAAATAAAGAACAGAAAATAAATGATCATTTCTATAAAAACAAAAGGCTAAACAAAACATCCCTTTACATATAAAATAAAAAATTAGGATATAGGTGCATTTCGGTGCATCGATCCATAGATGTAATAAATTTGGAAAGTACTATTTCTGCAGCTTTTTTCTGCCATAAAGCAGCTGAAATAGTCCCTCCTATAAATGTCTCCAATGTTTTAATGTATGAAGAAGATCATGTGGTACAACAATATACATGTACTCTTTCAACAAAAATGTACATTTCATGTGACGGGTCAACACAATCAGCTGTATAGAAATCCAACTTACTTGTACAAGTTCAACTTTATTTTCCCTTTTAACTATATTTATTGATAATCAAAGTTTTCTGGTATAAAAAATTATTCTTTCCTGGATGAGAGTTATATGAGATATATAATGCAGACCTTTCCTCCTTGCCCTCTAGTGGATTTTTCGGATCTGGATCTTTGTTTAGTGTCTTGCAACCTTTTAAACCTTTCACTGATGCCCCTGTTACGGAAGCCTGCATGAGAGAATCTAAAATCATGGCAATAAAATTCTCCAGATTTTCGTGAACTCATGTAACCCAAAAATTTACGAGTTCAGGAAATGCTGTGAATATAGAGAGGATAAGGTCCAAATAATTTGCTAGATTTTATAATTGTTCCACACCACCCACCATGCAATCACTTTAGAGATCGATTTGAGTTCCCCCTCCCCCCTCCTCCTTCCCGTGGGAATTCGCATTCATTTGACTAAAAATTGCCTTGAATTTATTACTACACAAAATACTGTAACAAATACTTCTACAACCTAGTTTGGAATTAAACAAACTTAAATTGGCTTCATTCAAATGGGTAATTGGATCTCACAAGCATGGAATAGTGATACTTACTCGGAAGTATGTATGCAGGGCAGTAGTAAATGAAAATGGCTTCTTGTCAGTATTTGTGATCTTTAACTCTGTTGAAAGGCTTTTGGAATCAAGAATGACCTGCAGAAAAGCGAAAGAAACAAAAATTGTATATTATCCACTAACTAAATGGAAATGGAATGTTCCATGAAGATAAACAAGGTGGCAACAAAGGTACAAGTATCCTAGACATTTTTTTTTGAATGGCAAAACAAACACACACACCCTTTTGCCCACTCCAGGACTTGAACCACTCCCCTCCTCTTTGAAGATGGAGTGGTTATACCATTAGGCTAGATGCCCTTTGGTACATTTTAATATTCATTCTTAATATGAAGTTCCATATAATCTTTATCAACTTATAGGTGGGATACATTAATGCAATTGCATCATCAGTGTCATTTAGAAAAACCGTGATTCTGTACACAAGAAAGTAAATAATGGACTAACCTTGTATAGAGCTTGAAAGCTGAAATCCCACATAGAACGACTGTAAGGACCATCCTTTAACTCTAGAGTAATAACAGGATTCCCATCCACATTTTCAGAATCGACAAGTGACCAATTCATGTTCCTTGCAAACCCATGCTGCAAACCAGATAAACATCTCCAAGGCTCAGATCAGTATACTATAACAGGAAGAAAATGCTAGTAGCTTTTTCAAAGAATCCTTTCATGCATTCAAAGGCCTCGACTAAAAAGGGAAGAGTACAATTTCATTGATTTTCACTGCTGTAATGTTATTTCAGAAAGATCAGGTTTTTGTGGTGTCTCTGGATTAAAGCAACAAACTCAGCACAAGTAGTGGTGTTTTCAAAACTGAAGTAACAAACAGTCACACATTAGTGTTACTTTCCAAAATATAGTATTTAGGTTTGAAAATGTTCAGCAAAGGCTGTGTTATTAGCAGTATAACTAAAAGGCTTATTTAAGGGTCCTTACTTTAGTGTCTAAAATGATTTATTCATTAATTCATGAGAAAGTCTAATAACTCATAAAATGCGGTAAAAGAACAAAAAAATATTGACGGACTAGGAATGGTTGTCAGTGGTAGAGAGTCATACCTGCTGTATTTGGCCGGGTCCAAATTGCGGAAAACAATGTGGAACACCTCCGCTATCCCAGTAGAGATCCAGTCAGTACAGAAGATACATAAATTTCAAAACTTTAGATAATAAGAGAACTCAAAATACATGTTCTATATTGAAGGAAAGATAAATTGAAAATCCTAAAACGGTTGTAAGAACATGAAACTTTTCCTTTCTTTCCTTTTATTATTATTATTATTATTACTACTATTATTATTATTTATTTATTTACTTTTTATGTGGTCATTCATCTACCAAAGGCTTGTAGGGTCTATAACTTAAGTATGGACAGTCAAAGAAATTGACAAGACATAATAACAATTGCAATGCATTGTTGAAACAATTCTACAACTTGATGCAGAGTAGAAGGGGATGGAATAATATGGGTTCTCCACTTGTCAAAATGAAAGTGGCAGGGAAATAACCTGATAGGTTTCTGTCCATTAAACACAGCATCTGGCCGAACAAAAAGGAGATCCTTGCTGGAAACTTTCCATGATGTAATGCAACCTCCAAATAAGTATATCTCAGCCTCACTGCAAAAAAGAGATACAATCAGACTACAGCTTGTATTTTAAACGACACCAAGTATAAAGATTTTACAAATTAATCGTCATGTCCATATCAAATGCCTTTATTACAACAAAGACCAACTTTTTTTTTTTTAACTAATCCTCGTTTATTGACAGATTAAGAATAGAGTTGAACCCGGTATTCTTAATGGTATCCCAAAACCTTGCATGATAATACTAAACATTCTCAGGAAGTTGGACCAGGATATGGGCTCCAGGCACAATTTGGATTCACCAATTATGGTGTTATTCTCAGCGACTTTCTTCCAGGGAAACTAAATTTTTTTGACATCCAGCAAATTACTTTCTTGCCTGGGATAGTTTGTTTAACGTCCTGCATACCATGGCTGGCTTGAGATCACATCAATAAACTTTCTAAGAACTCATGGCACTTTCCTAACCCAAGGGGTAACAAAAAATGACTTGACATGACAAATGGTGTTTCCTAAAAGGCTGGATCCTCATTTAAATGGTGAGAAAGTCTAATTACAACCAACATCACCATTGGGTTTTGCTAAAAGCACCCTCATAAACCTAAATCATGACTGGACACTGCTACTGACCACTTTAGCGCCACACGCGTAGACTAGAAAAATAAGGAAATTATAACAGAACTGCTGCCCACAACTGGCCGATGCACCATTAAGAGTGATGTCTGGTTAGTAGTTACTGTTTCATTATCTCAAAACATTAGGTATACTCTCATTGTGAAAGAAGATATTCTATCCACAGGTCCCAGAATTTGTCACTAAAGTTGTATGGGTGCATATACTTTGTTCCACGGCTCCTTTTTTATACCATGCAACTTCGAATAGTAAGTTGGGTAATTCGGTTAGTCAGTTATGCAGGCATCACCCCCTTTTTCTTTTCTTTTAATTCCCTCAATAGGTAAACCACAGACAGCCATTTTCGTCCCATTGGGGGCTTGAACCCTCAACCTTCCATTTCGAAGGAAGAGGAAAGGCATCGTACATATTTATACCATATTGTTCGAGAAATTTGTGTATATAAACATAAGTTACTCCTCTTTGACACCCTTTTTTCCCCTTTGAAATAAAATTCCTCTTTAGGATATTATCACCATTCTTCCATTTGGGACCTTACCAAATACCAACACAAGATCAAGAGCACATACGGAATCATTATGATTCACGGGAATGGCCTCTCGAAACTTGGAAGCTACTAGTACAACAACATTAGCAGTTTTCATTACAACAACAGTAAATTCTTGACATGTTCTTGTTGCTAAATATAGGACCCATGAGTGAAAACATGTTCAATGATTTGGCATTCAACAAGAAGATTGACAGCAAGCTCAATTTTAAAAGGAAAATGAGCTAACAAGAATTAAAAAAAACAGCATTTCCTTCAAATGTCAATTAGAATTTCTTTCCATTCTCTAAATTCATGGATTTCCACACACACACACACACACACATGTACCTGCCATGAGAAGAAGTCAAAACGACCTTTGGTAAATTCCCTTCCCCATCAGTAACTTTCACTCCCAAACAAGTCTTCTCTTTGTTTACACTAGCAGAAGCCATAACTGAGAATCTGTACAAATCACAAGGGCGTGATTTTTATTAACAAAAATAAATAATAAAAAAACCCAACAAATTAAAAATTAAATCAACAGCTAAAATTATTCAAATGCTGATATAAATCAGAACAATTCAGCTGAAAAGTTAGCTTAAATTCTTCTAAATTTGATCACAATAGAATCAACTGACCTAGAGCAATAGCGATTAAGATACTAGAACAAATAATGTTGCAGTGTTAGAGAAAAATTAAAGAAATTAGGAATTGAATAACAGAGAGAGAGAGATGGATCGTTCATGACTCACCGGTTGACTCGGCGAAGTTCCGATGTTGAAGATGTAAATGTGGGGAGAGAGAGAGACCACGCCATGGAAACTGTCGCCATTTTGTGGGGTCACAATTCTCAACGGCCAATTTTCAGAATGAAAGTCTCACACTACACTCCGGGTTATTCACGTATGTGGTTATGTTATGCCTGGTATAAACTAGGATATTCTTGTTCCTATTTTATTTTATTTTATTTATCTAATCTTCTTTATAATTTGTTTCCATGAAAAAAAATATCTTAGAATAAAAATTTAAAAACTCGATGGTTTTTATTGTTCAATAACATAATAATCTGAAAGTTAATAAATCGTTTTTTGAAAGAGTGCTAGCTATATGGTCAACTATCTATCCACAATCGGCCTTGGTGGGCCATCAATCACACCAATTATTAAATAGGATAAATAAATAATCATAATACTGTAATTTTCACTTCATCACTAAAGGTCACTTAAGGTGACTGTGATCAGACATTTTAAAGTATTATTTAGGGCCTGTTTGGAGGCCCATATCTGTTATTGTTTTCATGTTTTGGTTTCATTTTTGGGCCAATATCATGTTTGGAGTGGGTTGATGTGGTATTGAACAATGTAAAAATATTATGAAATTTGGACCAAAACCCATATCAAAGAATTGGTGATATTGGGTGATATGGTTTACTGTAGCGGCCATACCAACCCAAACCAAAACCATATCAATCCTCATTTAAATGTAGCGGTGATATCAAGTATAAAAAATCGCATATCAGAACCGAGCCATTTTTCATCGTCATTTTCTCTCTCATCGCGCAGCTCCTTTGGAGGCGATTTCATGGGCGATTGTTCTTCGTTTTCGTTACACCTTCGTTGCTAGGCTACAGATCGATCAATCCTCCCGTACTTGGTTTTCAGCTCAATCGTCTCTCTGTTAAATGGAGTGTGACCCGAATCTGAAACCCTAGAGTTCTTCGCAACCACAGATCGACGCTTCTTCTCTGGAAATTTCTGTTGTTTGCTACTGAGAAAGCGAACGCGCTAAGGTTCAAGACTTTTAGCCAAGCGTTAGCAAAGCGGAACGAAGCGTCGGTAGGTCATACATTCTGTGTATCGATTTCGTCAAGGGCGATTCTTTCAGGTGCTCTTTCTCTCTCTCTCTCTATATATATATATACACTAACAAAATTCCAGATTTAGTTCCATAACTATAGTTCCACAATTCCATATTCTTTCAATAACAAATACAGTAGCATAATCCAGATTTAGATATAGTTTTATTCTCTGCAAAGTGATGAATAATTCTGTGTATATAGAAATGGGAGTGCATAATTTCATAACTCAATTTTAATTTTATAGCTAAAAAGTAAAGCCTATTTCAGCAACTTATGAAAATTTATAAAGTATCATTCAAACCAATTATTTGGAAATTTAGCCTTCATTAGTAACTGAGATCATATGAGATGTTTAGAAATATAAATTGTATGATTCAATTAAATTAATAAATTAGAAATAAGCATGAGATTAAAAATAAAATACCTAACTTTATGTCATACAATCCCTATCCGGCCTTATTATATTGTAATTAGATGTGAGATTTTTGTATCCTCATATTTTATGCAATTACCAGGCACAATAAAATGTGATATTATAAGTTGCATTACCTTGAATAAGTTGCATTACCTTGAATCTGATACGTTGAGAGTTTTAAGATTTGAAATCATATACTTTGACAGATATGGGCCTTCGAGATTACTGCTCTTCTCAACCTTTAGGAGAACATCAACTAGAGAAATGGAAACTTATCCAATTTGAATCACCTAGCTTATATAGAAATTACCTTTGAAATTGAGGAAGGAGACTGATTTTTAAGAAAATCATGTGGTTGATTTAATTGATTTTGACAAATGGAATTTGAACTGAAGAAAATGAAGAAAATGGTGAGAATTTGAACTGAAGAAAATGGAAGGAGACTAATTTTTATCACATTTTTACTTCATTTTTTCTTCTTTTTTGCCCCTTATTGAAGTGTTTTATAGACAGTGCCTTTTTTACTTATCATTGACGTGTTGAATTATGAGTCAAAACACAATTCAATGTACTAAACTGTTCAATTACTTAATAATAATCAGATGGACATGAACAATGACAATGTTGAGCAATACCCATCAAGAGACATTCATTTTCTTGATGGTGACAATGGTAAGGATGTTGTAGTTGTTGAACAGGCCGATGCCGCTGTTTGGTGTGATGCCGATCAAGAGAAATTCATGCTCTTGATGGAGGAAGAGGTTGGAAAAGGAAATCGTACAGGCACGACTTTTAATCCAAATGGGTGGACACATATTGTGGACGCAATGTTATTGGAAACTGGAAAGAAGTACACGAAGGACCAATGTAGACAAAAATTCAATAATATAAGAGCATTGTACAAAGATTGCAAACAAATATTATCTGAGACTGGTGTAGGGTACAACAGTGAAACTGGAATGATTAAGTTGGAAGCTGAAAGATGGGTTCGATTGTGCAAGGTTAGTATTTCAATACGTGTCTATTTACCATACATATAGTAAGTAATTAATGATTTAGTATTAAAAGGGTTTGATGAACAATAATTGTAAGCTGATAACGTGTAGGTTCTCAAGCATGGAAAAAAAATAAAAAAACAGGGGTGTAAGAATTATGAGCAGATGGTAAGGATTTTTGGGAATACACATGCTACTGGCAAGCATGTTCATCCTTCTACAAAGCCACCCAGACCTCACCAAGTGCTAACAATGCCTCAAGTGGCAACACATGAAGCTCAAATTCATAACACTGAGGGCAATGTGGGCATGACTGATGTAGAACGACCTAATGTAGAAGAACCTATTGACCTCAGTCCTACTCCCAAACCTGTAGCTAAGAAACAGAAAAAAGAAACTTTTTCCGAAACAATGTCTTTAATGATGGAATGTTTGACTATTATTGGGAACGCGAAAGCTGATAAAATTGCAAAAGCCATAGCAGAATCATCTTCTAGTTGTCAACCATCTCGATTTACCGAAATGCCTGAAGTGACATCTCCCAGTAAAAAAGAAAAAGAAATGGATCCCCAGCTTGAAGAGTGCTTTAAGATTGTCAACACATTAGTGGGGATTGATGATACCCATTATGCTAAGATCATAAGGATGTTTGGTGAGGACAAGGTGTAGAGGGACATATTTCTTCGCATTCCTGATGAAAGGAAGGTTGGGTGGGTGATGAATCAGCTTCTATGATTTCTTCGGTATCTTACTTTTATATGCTTTTGGATGACTGTTTTATAACTGTTTTTACATTACTGTTAGATGACTGTAATGAATTTTTGTTATCTACTGCTTTTACATTATTGTTGGAAGATTGTATTTAATTCCTCTATCTACTGCTTTTAAATTAATGCTGGAAAACTATTTATGGTCTACATTTATTACTTTTACATTGTTGCTGGATAATTGTATGATTTGGTATGTCTTTTCTATTTTGCTTAATTTTTGTTACAATAACTGCTTCTGTTTATTCTTAAATAGGATAGTAGCTATGGATATAAGGACAATATTAACCATTTATGATGATGATGATGAGGAGGAAATTCTTGTATTGATCGCAGCCGTATATGAGTACTATTATAAACATTTTGATAAACAACGTTGTAGGGATTCCATGTTACAAGGGGAAGATTACATATTCGAGGTCTTAAATGGACATGAAGATAGGTGTTATGAAAATTTTCGGATGTACCCCAACACCTTTAGGGCATTGTGTCGTGAGTTGAAATTGTTAGGATTGAAAGATTCAAAATTTCTAACGGTAGAAGAACAAGTTGCAATTTTCCTACTTACCGTGTCTCACAATGAAAGGAATCGTGTCGTTGCTGAAAGATTCCAACACTTTACATCCACAATTTCGTATCACTTTCATACTGTATTAAAGTTAATTTGTGAGTTAGGGACTAAGATTATTGTTCCCCCGGATTTGAATGAAATTCCTAAAGAGATAAAGAACAATCCAAAGTTTTACCCATACTTTAAGAATTGTATAGGAGCCATAGATGGTACTCATATACATGCTGTAGTGCCAGTTGACCAACAAATACCCTTTCGTAGTAGAAAGGGTGATACGACCCAAAATGTCATTGCCGTGTGTTCATTTGATATGAAATTCACATACATTCTAGCTGGGTGGGAAGGGTCTGCTAATGATTCGAAGATTTTAAATGAGTGCATTCAAAATGAGGATTTCAATTTTCCATCACCACCTGAAGGTAAAAATATTAAGTTTCCATATTTGTGCATTTAACATTACAAATACGTTAATTTTAATACTTAACATACTTAACATGACAGGTAAGTTTTATTTAGTCGACTCTGGGTACGCCAATCAACCGGGGTTTTTGGCCCCTTACCGAGGTCAACGTTACCATATGCAGGAATATCGTAGACATACTAGAGGACCACATGGTAGAGAAGAGGTGTACAATTTTAGGCACTCGTCATTGAGGAATATCATAGGGTGATGTTTTGGGTTAGTAAAGATGAGATTCGCTATATTGAAGCAAATGCCCCCTTATCACTTTGACACTCAAGTTCTTATTGTCATTGCTTGTTGTACATTGCATAATTTCATAAGATCCCAAGGAGAATCTGATGAAATTTTTGATTCTGAAACCCCTCAATCTTCACAAAATGAACCTGATGTGGATGACGATGTTCAGGTGGTCAGTGCTACTAATACACAGATACGACAGATGGATATTTATCGTGATGGTATTGCCAACCTAATTTGGGAGCACTGTAATCACTAATTATAAAACTGTCTAATAGTGTGTAGAATTAAAATATGGATGACTGTAATAACTAATTATATTACGTAAATTAAACTCAGATACTCCTTATTTATGGATAACTGTAATAACTAATTATATTAGGATATCAAATATTAAATGCTTTAGTACTTGTAGGTGCACTTATGTATAGGCTTGAAGGTGAGCGACCACAATGTGCATGTGGTAGAGGTCCTATACATCTGTATAGGGCTCGAACTCCAAAAAATGATGGTCGACAATTCTATAGGTGTCCAGCTCTGGAGGTATGGTCAATTACTTTTAGGTGCTATTTCTGTTACTGTTTCCTAATTGTATAATTTATATTTCTTGTAGTCACATATGAATGCATTTATGTGAGTGGATGAGTTGCACCAAGGTGCACAAGTTGAAGAACAGGTTCAATCTGACTTGGACAGAGTCATTGCAATGATTCAAAATGAACAATGTAGACAGAAGTACATGCTCTTCCTAGGTTGTGGATGTCTTGCTATCACAATCATGTTTATTGTGATTGTCCTCTTGTTGCTCATTATCGTTGTTATTGAAAGATGAAGTTAGATAAACTTCCATCTTTTGTAATATATGACATGTAATACGTATTTAGTTAATTTCCTGTGTTTCATTTGGTATGTAATATATACTTAAATGGTATATTTTGAACTGCGTATTAGTTGCTGTTGTGTTATCTTCTCTGTCATTTTGGGAGTGAGCTTTAGGGTATTTGTAAAATTTGCTATCGAGGTCATTTACACTCTATTTGCAATATTAGAGAAAAAAAAAAGGTTAGATATATCTTGTTTACTACTTCTAATTATTTCATTCCTACCGTGTGTTATTTTGTTTTTCTCTAATGTTGTTCATATCTTTTGTTTTGCATGAGGTCATTTACACTTTAAATTTACAACTAAGCTTGAAAAAAGGTTAGATATATCTTATTTACTACTTCTAATTATTTCATTCCTACCGTGTGTTATTTTGTTTTTCTCTAATGTTGTTCATGTCTTTTGTTTTGCATGAGGTCATTTACACTTTAAATTTACAACTAAGCCTGAAAAAAGGTTAGATATATCTTGTTTACTACTTCTAATTATTTCATTCCTACCGTGTGTTATTTTGTTTTTATCTAATGTTGTTCATGTGTTTTGTTTTGCATGAGGTCATTTACACTCCAAATTTGTAGCTTAGCCTGAAAAAAGGTTAGATATATCTTGTTTACTATTTCTAATTATTTCATTCCTACCGTGTGTTATTTTGTTTTTCTCTAATGTTTTTCATGTGTTTTGTTTTGCATGAGGTCATTTACACTCCAAATTTGCAGCTTAGCCTGAAAGAAGGTTAGATATATCTTGCTTGAATTAAATTTGTGGACGGTGTCCCTTGTTAATTGAATTTTGTGGGCGGTGTCCCTTGTTGAAATAATTTTGTGGGCGGTGTCCCTTGTTAAATGAATTTTGTGGGCGGTATCCCTTGTTGAAATAATTTTGTGGGCGGTGTCCCTTGTTAAATGAATTTTGTAGGCGGTGTCCCTTATTGAATTAATTTTGTGGGCGGTGTCCCTTGGGTTTATTGTGTTTTGAAATTTTGGAAATGTCCATTTTTAAGGGGAAGTCATGCCGGATTTTTTTTAAAAGAAATAATAAAAATTGAATTTAACTCTGCTTTATATTTTGCTACTATAGGTAATGTCTTGTTTTACATTTAAATTCATTTTTTCCTACTACATTGAAGGACATGGCAGTAAGTTGTACGCAGTGGCACCAGTGGGATTGATAGGAAGCATTCTCCAGTTGCTGCAACTCCAGAAAGCTAGTGATCTCTAAGTTAATCAAATGGAGGCCTATGCAAGTATAAAAAAGTGGGTGTACATTTTATGGAATGAATATTAGTGATCTCCAGTTATGTGTACATTTTATGTAAGTGTAATGAAGTGTGTGTGTACACACATACTATTTTAAAGGAATGTCTAGCTCCTTATATATGGAAGTATATATGTGAATGGTGCAACACTCAAGTTCTTAAAATTGTGATGTATAAAGCAAAACTATACAATTATTATATATGTGAATGTTGTTCAGTCTTGTAAGAGGGATCTTCCTTGATTGCTTGCTTTTAATCTTTATTCATATTTATCAATTCTGCTTATGGTTGGATATTGTATGAAATATTCACAAGTCCGTTATCAAAATAAATACTCAACAAAAGGGGAAATGGTCTTATGACTAAACAAAAAAAAAATATTACCAATTTGAAGGACCTCCACTACAAAATTTCAAACTAATCTAAGTGAAGTAAAACTATTCACAAGTTTCAATGTTCACCAAATTTCAACTCTGACCAATTCAAGACGATTAACGTTTTGGCTTTGTTTCTTGTTTGTTTCAACTACAAGGATCTCTCTGTCTCTCACATTCATCATGAATATATATATATATATATATATATATATATGAAACAAAACAAAGTTAAATGGAATGCAAGCCAAAAGAAAAAGATAAATGGAGTGCAAAGATCTACTCTCATTGAAAGATTATTACAAAGTTAGATTTGTAATTTGGTTGCCATTAATCATGTTTATGCAGATTTATTCATTATTACAAAGTAGTTTGGTTGCCATTATACATGTAAATTTAACAAAAAAAAAATTTCCCAACTCCAATGCAGAATTTTTTTTTTTTTTTTTCCACAACTTATCTCAAATCATAAAGAAAAATGAACTATTTTACATATAAACTTATAATTGTATTCATATATATAATTTTTCAAAACAAAACAATACAGTCTTTACCAAACAAGTATTCTGTTATTGATTCAGAATTTTTAATAACAAAACACTATTCCCAAACGTGTTTTGTTTTCGGATTCCTTAAAACGCATGACAATACCAAACGCGTTATCATATTTCTGATATACAATTATCAAAAACAAAACAATCGTTACCAAATATGGATCCGATTGCTACTAAAAACATACCAATACCAAAACGGTTGTTTTCATATCATACCAAACCATAACATATAACGTTATCGCCATCCAAACGGACCCTTAGTGTTTCACTCCTTCCTCCTTCAAAATTGTCAAAAAATAAAAATAAAAATAAATAACAGTCTAATAACTGCAGAATTAACAGTCTATTAACGGTGGATATCACATCCAGGGCCGCCCCTGAGATTGAAAAAATTTCAAGAGTTTCTAGGCGGACTTTAAATGTGAGGCCCTCTATACAAAAGTGATATGCTTGCCCTAATTTTTTTTTATTTTTTGGGTAGCCCATCATTCTTGAGGCCCTTTGCTATAGTTATAAATTTCTTTTTTGGTGGCCCAACATTCATGGCCTATAAATTTTGATTTGCTGCATTTGGTTGTAATTTTTTTTTTTTCGGTGGCCCATCATACATGGGCCTATAAATTTGGAGGCCCTTTATATTCTAAGGCCCTAGGCAACCGCTTTGGTCGCCTTGGGCCAGGGCCGGCCCTGAACACATCTTTAATTTTTGAATGGCGAGTGAAACACTTAAATCGTCAAACCCTCCGTTCAAGATGCAATAAAGCGAGACTCAAATTTTTGTGAAACAACCATTTTGTTGGCTTCGTTTGGATACGTAGGACAGAAAAAATAATAATAATAGTTACAAGAGAAAATAAAGCAAAGAAAGGAAATGATAGTAATAATTTACATTCATGTTTAGATAGATATGAAAAAAAAGAAAAAAAAATGTTAGTATTTTTGTTTGGATAAGATAGAGGAATGAAAATAAAAGAAATGATAGCAATCGAATTACTATCCTATCCTTTATCTATAATTTTGCAGGTGATTCAATGCTATAATTTTGGAAGCTAATTTTAGTATTATGAAAATATCACTCACTTTCCTTTCCCTCCAAATATTCTTATTTTTGGAGGGATACAATATGAGGGATTTGGATGGATATTCCAAAGGGATAATTCCATAAGAATGACAAAATAATGGAGTCAAAATCAAGTTTTCCAAATTAATGGAATTTTATGTAAGTCTGACATGGATATGAAAAATTACTATACATTATCTTTTTATTCCCAAAATAACCTTTCAAATCTAGAGAGAGCAGAGAAACACATCTACGCCAATCCTCTCAAACTCTCCTTCTCTACAGCTTCTCTTTCCTCAAACTCCCGAATCACACCTTTAAAATTACTGTAAAAAGAATGAAGTCAAAATCCACTTTTCTGTTCATTTTCTTTATAAATCATCAGTTTTCAATGTAATTTTCTTTCTAACTTTGATTTCTTCCTCTATTTTACTTATTTATTTTTAATTTCCTTTCTAAGTTCTCTTCCTTTCTAACTTTGATTTTCCCCTCTATTTATTTCTATTTTACTTATTTATTTTAATGTAATTTTTTTATATTAAAATAATGAAGTTTCACAATTATTAAAATAAATTTACTAAACAAATAAAATTGCCATTTAAACCGACACTAATAAATATTACAGTATTTGATTCTCTCTATTCTCTCTCACTACCACTACCAAATTCAAGATCTTCACAGTATATAGATATATAAAAATAAATAAGTAAAATAGAGGGAGAAATCAAAGTTAGAAAGGAAATTACATTGAGAACTGATGATTTATAAAGAAAATGAACAGAAAAGTGAATTTTGATTTCATTCTTTTTACAGGGATTTTGACAGTGTGTTTCGGGCGTTTGAGGAGAGAAGAGCTGCCGGATAATGAGAGTTTGAGATGATTGACATAAATCTTCTCTCTCTAGATATGAGAGGGGTAGTAGTATAATTTCATAACAATAAAAGAAAGGTATTTTGGAAATAAAAAGATGATATATAGTAATTTTCCATGTATACATCAGAATTTCATAAAATTCCATTAATTTGGAAAACTGGATTTTGACTTCATTCTTTTGTCTTTTGACCCTCAAAACTCCATTTTTATGGAATTATCCCAATTCCAAATCCTTTCTTCTTCTCAAATCATTCCATTCAAACACAACATTTCTTATCCTTTCTTTTCTTTTCTTTCCCTATACCCTTCCCATCCAAACGAGGCCTACAGAAAACAAAGATTTTATTAAAAGTAGATTGACAGCGGACAACTATTTGAGCGTGTGATTCAAAAAGAATAACCAATGAGGTAAAAGAATGCTCCAAGTAAATTAATGATATAATTACTTTCAATAAATGCTTAATTACAATTAGAAGCAGTATATTAAAAAAAGGAAACAACAATCCATTATAGCTTTGCTTGAGGTTTTATTACATTTCTGGCTTCAAACAATTTCCCAAACTGTTACTTCTTCTCAGTTACGTATGATCCTCAAGAAATCTCCCACAACTTTTGCAGGAAGCATAAAACAAACTGTAGGTCAAACATATATAAAGTGTTTGTACAAACAAATCAAGGCCCTTAATTTTTGAGTTTTAGCAAAGTTTAATCAAACGGCTAGCATTGTGGAAGATCCTTTGGTGGAGGCAGAATGGTTTGATCTTTTCCAGGTCCATCTTCTACCACAAATGCTGTTTTCAGTCCCCAACCAGTATGGAGCTCCAAATGACAGTGCAAAAACCAAACACCTACATAATCTCTCAAGTTAATTATTTCATACACAATATAGTTACACCTATATATATATGTAATGCAATCTAATTACACAAGTTTGAAGACTATACATGCTTGAAGCTTGATATATATAACAAAAGTAAGTTACTTCATTGTGAGCTGGAGGTCACGAGCTTGAAACGAAAAATAGTCACTCTGCATGCAGAGATAAGACTGTGTACATCTAGGACTCCCCAGACCTCGCAATGACAAGAGCCTTATGCACTAGGGTAACCTTTTATATGCCTGATATATATAGCAAAAGTTGAAGTCCTACATCCTTTTTTAGTATTAGTACTTCTAGCAAAAGAGTTTAAAGTTTATAAGTAGCAAGCCTAGTCCGCGAGACTTCCGCCATTGCAGTGTCTGAGGAGGGGTCAAATGTACACAGCCTTAGTAAGCAGAGAGATTGTTTCCTTATTTCGAACCTATTATCTACTTGTCTAAGTCACAATAGAGTAATCTTACTATTGCGCTAAGGTTGCTTTTATAAATTCAAAATTTCAACTTCAGTGCATGGCTAAAAAAATATAATACTTCTCATATTTGGTATACTTTATTTAAGTTAAGAGTAAAAATAGAGAGTCCGACATTCAGACACATCTGACTAAATTTATGTGGGTAGGGAATGACGTCATGGCATCATTATATTTGATGACGTCATTTCTCACTCATATAAATCAGTCGGATATGCCTGACTTTCGAACTACTATCATTATTCGTAAGTTAATTACCTGGATTGTCAGCTAGAAATCGAATTGCTGTCCACCCACCAGTGGGAACTCCAACTGTGTTTCTCTCAGGAGGATCAACCAAGTTATACTTTGCAGGGTCCTTAGCAGGATCAAAGTTTCCAATACCAGTTCCAACAACAAAGAAGTTGTAGCCATGAAGATGGAATGGATGTGACTCAACAGTTAGGAGACTAGTGTCTTGCAGAACCAATTCAACCGTAGAGTTGAAGGCAATCTTACTAAGCCTAGTCCCTTGGATGGTGCCGAGATTGGCAGTGAGTGGTGCTCCAGTATAGTTGAAAGGAGTCGGAGGCTTGTCCGGGAAATCAGTTCTGAAAACCCCTTTTGTGTTGAAGTAATGAGCTTGAAGAAGCCCAATCTGAGGCATCACAAAAGAGATATTGTTCAGAGAAGCCGTGAGTCGCGTGCCATTAACGCAAGTTGGACAATCGTTCCTCCCCAATCCAATTGTGTAGAACAGTTTTCTATCCACTTTTAGTGGCACATTTGCTGGATAGGTTGGAGTGTTGAGGCTCCTGAGCTTCTTATTGTAGCTCATCACAAATGAAGAGTCGTTTGATGCTGGCAAAATGGGGAGTTTCGGGAGAATTGTGTTGGGGATGCCTTTGTATTGCAGTATGGCAGTTGCGGTTCTGTTGTCTATGGGGATTGGAACATCTATGAAAGGCCTTGCAGCCATGAAGTATCTGTTTGGCACTTGGTTGGCTTGGACCAAAACGTTTGTTGTCTGTCCTGGGGCAATGAGCAGAGCTTGCGTTGTGAATGGCTTAGTGTAGACTGCGTCGATCTCCACTACTGTCATGTTGTGACCGGCAATGGCAAAGAAGAGCTCGTCGTTGAGAGCTGCATTGATTATCCTCAGGAGGTACGTTTTCCCCAGTTCAACCTCCATGGCAAAGGTGTCTGAAACAAGAAAAAGGAATGATCATATATATAGTCATTAGAACAATCAATAACAACATAAATACCACAGATTGTTCATATTCCAAGTAAAAGATCAAATTGCCAAGTGTGTAAACTCAAGTTCTAGAATGTAAGTAACAACTTAAGGGTATGTTTTTCTTAGGTTTCCTAAAAACAGTTCTGGATAACTCAGTAAACGGAAATATTTTCTCAGAGAACTACTTCAAACAATTCTTTAAATTCAAGTCATTTTTAAGTGAGTTTTAAAAAAATAGTTTTCAGAAACAAATGGCTAATGATCTAAATCATTTAAAGGAAGAGGAATTTCCATGTGAGCTTGTAACCGATTCAAATGGGTATTCTATGAACGATGAGAAAACAAAAATGAACAAAAACAACTAATTTTTGTAACCAACTAATTTTTTTGTAGAATTCTCAAAAAAACAAAAACAAAAATGAACCAAACAAGCCCTATGTTGTATCGAGTCTACTCACAACTAATAAACCAATACCATATTGGGTAGAGTGTCTAATAAAAGGGGCTTTTTTTTTTTTCTTTTTTTTTTTTTTTCACTCCTATTCAGTCATAACATGGCACAACAAAAAGTGTTTTAAGGTTATATTTCTTACATTTTTCAGAACATGGAAAGAGTGGTCCTGGTTTGCCATTGATTGTGTGCGCATCAGACATATTTGGCGGCACGCCCAAGTTGGTCCCTTCCTTGACCACCTCTTCAACATCTGTATTCCACCATTCTCCTGCACCAAAATTAAACAAAAATAATAAATTGCAGAAGTTAATCTCCTATAATTCTTTTATGATCAGAACTAATTAGCAATTTAGAAATGAAATTTCAAATTCACCTAGCAAAATAGTTTGTTCTCTGTTTGGCTGTGGGAATGGAAATGGGACTCCTTGTTTTGGCAGGATAACAATTGCACCATAAACTGTGGCTCTTAGCCAAAGAATATGTGCATGCCACCATAATGTTCCTCTCTGTCCTGTTACATTGAAGTCATAGACGTAGTTACTCCCGGTCTGAACCGGACACTGTGTTATATAAGCCGGACCATCGGCCCAACCATTACGATATTGCTTCAATCCATGCCTACAAAAAATCACCAAAAAGCCATAAAAAAATCGTTAGATATAGTTTAAGGTTTATTTAATACAAACAGTTTTCTGTTTTCGAAAAAAAAAAAAAAAAGGAAAAAAGAAAAAAGCTGAACCAAGCAGACCGTGTTCTCTTAGATTTCCTTCTTATATGTCTTCGATTCGATTCCTTACCAATGAATGGACATATTATATTGTGCATGGTTTGTAACGTTGATCTGAACTCTATCTCCCTCTTTAACAAAAATAGTTGGCCCTGGAAATCTACCATTTACAGTTACAATGGGTTTCGCATGGCACAACCTACTCACATTCTTCACTTGAACCTGAAAAAATAAAAAATAAAAAATAATAATAATAAAAAAATGAATATGAGCAAAGAGAGGAATAAGCAAATTTAAGAAACATGCATGAGATCATGAAAATGGCAATGAGCTTAAACAACTCACGTCAAACTGGTATTTCTTTGTGGCAGCTTCGGCAGGGATGCAAACGAAACCGAGAAAACCAATGAAAAGAAGTGTTAGACCGGAGAAGAAGGTGCCGCGGATTGCCATTGTTGCAGTATTTACATGGAAGGTGGTGAAGTCTAAGGTACTTATATATATGAAAAATGTGAAGAGGCAAAGTTAAGCTATCAGTTTGTTAAGGTGAATTGTGATGTATCTCATTAGGTAGAGAATGATTTAGGGGATATATTGTGAGTCACCAAGCTTGTAAGCAACATAATGATTGGGACTTAAAGAGGCCATTGACTTACTTCAAGGCTTAGGTAACCAGCTTTAACCTAGAACAAGATTTTAGCAACATTTTTTATGAACAATGTTTGTCCAAGGAGGAATCTCTTCTTGACAAATTATTATATAGTCCCGGAACAATTGGTTCCTGATCAATCATTATTCGCCAAGTAAACAACTGTTTTGTTTATGTTTCAACTAAAGATTGGCCGTGATCAATAGTCAGGTCCATATAATAATTTCTCATCCCTCCTGTGGATGGACCATATCATGCCAATTGAGAGTAGTGGATTCCATTAAAAAGTAAATTATTATTTATTTATTATTATTTTTTTTTGGCAATTTTGTATATAGTTATTTTATTTTTATTTTTGTAAATAGTATGTTAAGTTTAGAATTATATAACAATTTTCCATTTTGGGTATGAGAGGTACATAAGACCAACCTAACCTTTATGCTCTGCTGAGCTTTACCGTTAAGGTGAAGGAAGAATATTTAGATAGTGATGTCCAAAGGGAAATTTTGTAATCAGGAGGCTTTTTTATAATTAAGCAAGAAAACTTGTGGCTGTTACTGTTTTGTATTTAAAAATAAATAAATAAATAGTTCAAAGAAAGTCTTACTTCTAAGCTTCTGTGACTTTCATTTGTATTCAAATTCATGACTAGCCACTTACCAATTCATACCTCAATATATACGTGCGTGTGTGTCTCAAAAGGCTTATATACTAAAAATACATATTTTTCCTTACTCGGATGCTTCAGAAATGATTGTATTTGCTATTGCCAAGTCTATTGAATGTGGGCCCTTCAGCGGTGTTTCACTCGATTCCATCACTATAAAAGGGTTATGAGGTAACGAAATTTTTTATCAAGTAAGTTTGGAATCCCACCTAAAAGTGTAGCGACTCTCTTTAAAATTGACACCAAATATAAAAATAAAAATAAAAATAAAAATTATTTCATTTCACATTTATTTTATTTTATTCTATCACACCAAACTAATCCTAATCAAATACGAGATATTATCCTAAAATTATATAACTTTGTGTCATGACCTATGACTGAGGGACAGTTTTATACAGACTTATAAAAGTAATGGAAAAAAATAAATTCTTTTAATGAAAAACTTTTTTTTTTTTAACAGTGACGACCGTCTAAAGCAAGCTTAGACCACAAAATTCAATTGATATTAACATATAAACGTGACGTGGATTGGAAAAGAAATTGGCCCACATAAAAGTCAATCAAAAAAAACTATTTGGTATTAGGACCTACGAAGCAAATGGGTTGTCTATTTGTCATGTTGAATTACACATCTACATTTGTTTTCAGTCCACTGTTAGGCGCTATCAGGTATTCTAAGGGTTGAATATTGTAAATTGGTTTCAATAATCCAATCATTAGAGTTTTCAAAGATTTAGGGCCTAATGTTTCTATCCTAATGTTTGATTGGAATCAAACATTCAAAATATATGGATTAGTTTCAATTGATACCCAGTTTTTGGTATTGGACCCAAGTTTTTTTTTCTTTTTTTTTCCTTAATGGTACTCACATACCCACGTCTCCATTAAGATTTGAACCTTCCTTTCAGAAGTAGGAACTTGGTACCGTTAGCCCGTTGGTAAGCACTTTGTTCCATTTTGTCCGGTACTCCTACCATATGCTTAAACTTGCACTACCATGTCCTGTGCGAAGGGGTTCTGTGCACCAAAATGATCTCGTTTTGTTGGCCTCCATGCTATGCACCAAAACCGTGTCGTTTTGGCGCGCATTTATACTGTGTAATACTGTCTACCTTTGTCATGGTAACATTGGATCTCGACTTCCAAGCCTCATCTCAAGGTTTCAAGGCTGGTAGAGACAAAACAAAAAAAAAAAAATACAATTTCTATTTGCTTAATTTCTACTTTCATAATGAATTTTTATCTTTTCCTTTCCTGACGAGGGGAAAAGTTACCAGTATCAAACAAAAAACAAAAAAAAAAATCTCCTAACTGATGATATGCTTTCCTTTCCCTCATGCTTATCCAAACAATGCACTGTATACCAACCAATGAGCACCAAACAGAGGACAAAGACTGGGATACTAGGACAAGCAGTTCTTGCAAGAAAAGATATATGGATGTCATGTGCTACAAGGGAAGCAAGAGCAAAACTTGTGAATGAAGGGCACACCTCTAGCCAAAAGTTCAGAGTCTATATAAAGTACACACAGTCTATGTCCTCTAGAAAACTTCTTTCCAACTCAAGGAACTACAAAAGGACACCTCTACATTCACTAAATAGCTAAAAGATACGGCAACAAAACAATCTCCATCTTAAGTCTGGACATTAATGCCAAAGTTACCACGAACTCAGGCTGTTGAGGAAAGCCTATGATGAGACAATATGAGGAAAAAACTGTGAAGGAGACCTTCAAAAATTAATTGGATCAAAAGAAGTACATCTGGCATGCATCCAAATAACCATTATCAGGATGGATAATGATTTTAAAGCCAAAGAGTTTGAACCATGGTTTGCCATATCGGCCGGTTCGTAACCCTTTTTTAAAGGTCCAATATCGTTACACGGTCGGTTTACCCCGATATTCGCCCGAATCCGTTGTACCGCAACCGTGAACCATGGTTAGAACGAAATGGCCGTTCTTCGGCATGAATATCATTACTCGTAATGCAAAAGTGATGGGACAACATGAAAAGCATTACAAAAATTTCCTCAGAGAGCTAAATATAGAAGCACTTACAAAATGCATATTTGATCCAAATTGCTAGCAGATAAAATAGTCACTGCACTGATAAACTTTCGATTACAATGTGTGGCAGTGCATGATGAGGAGCTTCCATGCAGAGAATAGATAAACTTCAGATTTTACGGAAGCAACTTTAACAAAAGATTATCATAATTTACAACCCACATGAAAGTCATTCACAGGCTGGTTTAGTGTCAAAGCTGCTTAAGCAGATTGCAAAGGCTTGGAAGGCAGAAAGTGGGTAGCGATAATCCATGGTGAAGATGTCTTTTCCGATCTTTCCAAACTGTAAAATTACTTTCTCTTGCTCTGCAGCTGACACGTTGTAAGAAGGATCAACAGCTGCCACAAGCTGGAAATTCTTAACAGAAGCAACTGTAACACGACCCTTGAAATTTAGGCACCAGCACTGTAGCTGCTCATGCCATCTTGGAGACTTGTTTTTAAGTATCAATGGTTGTTTAGCAACTGGGACAGATATCGGAGGCTCTGCAAGGCTTGAGGAGCTGAAGTCTATGATTGACTCCTTTTCTTTTGAGGCTGGTGAGGGAGAATGCTTCTCATTAAAGGAATGGAGGAACGATGTCGGTGTTGGGGCGGTGCCCCCCTCTTGAATTGAAGAGACAGGAATTGAATGCATGACACAATGCATTCTTCTAGGCCCTCTTGTGCGGAGGACATTCAGCTCATAGGAAATGGTAGCTGCATCATAGTTACATGCAGGTAATCTTGGAGACACTTGCTTAGCATGGAATCTTCGACTTGACCGACTATTCAATTGAACTGCAGCATCGTTTGGAGGTTGGCTGTCACATATGGTAAACTTGGTGCCCAGAAAATTAGACCTGGAAGAATATTATTTTAAAAATATTGGTTGGGGTCATAAAACAAAAAATAAATGGTAAAAGAAAGAGCGGAGGAAGAGACCCATCAAACAAATATAATTAGCATATGTGGTGGCCAAGACTTGCCTCAGTATTCCAACATATGTGTTGCTGGCTCGAGAAAAATCATCTGCAACCAAAGATATCACAAAGTATGTTTTTGTTGCTCTTCTGATCTTTTTGGCCGCCAATAACAACTTATCATTCTCATCTGCAGCTGTCAATTCAGTAAAATGGTTAATGGTAAACCTCCGAACGGCTAATAAATTCCCATTCCATCAATGCATAAAACCACATCTCTTAAACATGATTGTGTTCTTAACTTACATAAGAAGCAACAAAACTCCAAAACTAGGTTAAACTATGATTCATTCAAACAATGCCACTAAACTGAACAAACTATATGTTAATGGTTTCCAGCAATGCATTGAATAAAATGTTATGTAATTTAACATGATATATATGTAGACCCAATATTTCCACAGCAAAAGATTCAAATAGTCATTAAGCTTAGGAACATAAAAAACAGTAGTCCACGTGATCATCTTACGCAACAATGCTGTGATACACAAGTTACAAGTTCCAGAGGATCTTCATTCAGTCAATCGAAGGGAACACCAAAGTATCAATTAATGAAAAACTAAGCATGAAAGGATAAAAAAGACTTACAAGGGGTCAGACCAAAGTACAGACGAAATATGGAAGTTGCTCTGCTCCTTTTGATAAAGCACTGAATTGGAGCATCACGCGGTCCAGGCTATTTTATTTAGGAGGTGAAAGAGGCAAACATTATAATCAAAAACTGATAATAATAACAATTTATTAAATAAAGAGAGAAACAAAACATTACCTGCTTCAATGAAATGGGAAAAGTGAGTCTCCCACTTTCCTCTGGCGTCTTCACAATCTCCTTAGTGATCTCCCTCCATGACTTGCAAACTGATGCACAGTAAACAACAGTGGTCCTCGCAGGCCATGACATCTCACTTTCTTCAACCCTCCGAATTATATCCAAAAGCAACTCCGGCGGTAAGTTTGCCCATTGCCCCTGCTGAATAGGTTCAGATGGGGCCACATCAGGAGCAATATACGACCGGGTTCTGTTGCGCCAATGCTTGCCTTCTCCCCGTCGCCTAGATATATTCCCAATCCCATCTTTCATCTCCTTCAGCTCACGAATAATGCTTTTGAAGGACATCTCAGTTAAACATAAAAATCAATCCTTTCTTTCAACTATTCAACTGCAAACACATCAAAAGCAAAATAAAAATCCTACCTTTTCTCTTTCTATTATCTACTTTTACAAAAGCAGATCTGACTAAGAGTTGCAGATTCCAATGTTTAGAATAAATAAAACAAAGCACAACAATTTTTTGAAGGAACCATTTGCAAGCATGAATATGATACCTAGTTAAAGAATGATTCAACACATCCACAGAAAAATTAGAACTTCACTGATTCTATATAATTTATTGTATCTTCTTGTCAAGTCATTGCAATATTTCCAAACAATTTGTTCTAAAAATTCAAATAAAAACACAAACAATGCCAACAATTATATGAAATTTGATCCACCAAACTCACCACGACTTATAGCAGGAAAAAAAATAATAATAATAATACAAATAAAAAGATCTGATCTAAAATTAGCAACGACAAGTAGACAACACATCACATCGTAAACAAATAACGATGGAATTAAAAAAACAAAAATCAAAAATCAAACTGAGAAGTAAAAGAGAAAAAATTGTTTTAACGAAGACCGGAATGCAGAATTTGTAGAATTTGCTTAAAATAGCGACACTAGAGAGCAGTGAGAAGTGGAGGAATTACCTAGAACTCTCTGAAACGCTCAGATCCGAGATGGAAGATGTCAGATCGGAGAAACACGGCCAAAGTCGAAAATGGCGACCATGTTCACCGACTCCATTGACCGCCGCGAAACCCTAGATCGGAATGCCATATCGGACTCGCATCGCCGGAACAACCACCGTAGCCGCCACGAACACCGCCTCCACCGAAAGAAAAGAGGTCACGAGCTCACGCGCACTCAAAGCTTCAATAAAGCTCCCAATTTTTACGCCCTCAGATTGTGGATTGGGACACTCTCTCTCTCTTATTCAGTTCCTCTCTCAATCCGAAACTTTATCTTTTATTTAATTTTCCTAAATTTTTTAAACGTAGTCTTGTTGGATACGTCACTCGTACAGATATAAATGCATCTCAATGGTACACGTGGCTGGAATTTTTAAGTCAAAATCTTAATCCAGTAGGCCCCACCTAAATCCAAAATGCACACATATATCACCCAACGAGTGCATCCAGACCGTCCGATTACACACAATATCTCAATTTAATACAGAGTAGGAGTAAATTGGCATGGTACATTGGATTCTTAGATTGAAAATTAGTTTCTGAACTTTATATTACAACTCTTTTCAATTTATTAGTATTATAATATTGCAAATTGGTATAATTTGTTGCCCATTAGTGTTATCAAAAATAAATTGCAGTAGTGTTATATTGTTGTCGTATGAATGCATTGGATTGCTCTTCACCGGCAAGTGTATAGAAAATGATATGATTCTTGAAATTGTTTATTCCTTAAAAAGCAATTTTTTTAGTAATAATAAAAAATTCAAAATTTAACTAATTTTTTGTAAGTATGAATTAATATTATCATGTTGTTAGGAATATTAATGAGATTATCATGACTTCAACCCGAGTCACATAAATTAGTTTGAATTATGAAAATTTCAGGCTTTAAATTGTTATGCTTTCAAAAATTATAAAGAAAAAAAAAAAAAATACATGTTACATAGTCATGCTATAACTATCAAGTAATAAGCATTTGAAACTAATTAATAGCCCGCAACATTGGCAGAGATTCATAAAGTAAGTTTTTAAAGTCTCGCTTTTGAACCGCACTCTTAACTTAAATGATACGTGTATATACACTGTTCTAAGGGGAAAAAAAAATTGAAACGAATTAACATTAAGCTGTATTAATTAGAAATGGGTAAAAAAGTAACATGACAACTTGTAATTACAATTTTCAGAGATTTAAAATTCTGGATAATTAATTCAAGTGAATGTGTGTATACAGTATAATAAGGCCCACGAGAGCCTAGTGTGGGTCAAAGTTTTCGCCAATAAAACCACAATTAGTGGTGGACTGGACCGCGCCAGGATAGAGCCCAAAAATGAAAAAACACAGCCACACGTGCTGGTGTGGTGTGGGCTCCATTTCAGGACTGTATGGACCACGTGTGGGAGGTGATGGGAGACCCATTTCTGTTCTTATCAATTTCTTCTTGTGGAATGATCCTTTTAAAAGAATATCCTTTTTGGAACAATCTTGTTATTAAACATTTGGTGTCATCTCACTGTATTACATAATGTAAGTAGCAAAGATTTGATTAGTTATGATTTTCTTTTTTCTTATTCTTTTTTATTTATTTTTTCTTTCTTCGATCTTAACAAGAAACTCACATGTTCATTTATCTGTCTATTTATATAGGGTAGTGTAATTCAAACACAAAATGTCCAACCAAAGTGTCCAGCCGGGTACCATTGTATTCAATGGATGCAAAACAATGCTATTCAGACATAAATACCCAACCGAAATGTTTGGCGTCGTGATACTCGGCTAGACATTTCAGTTGGGCATTTCTTTCTACCTATCATTTTCCATTTATATATAAACTTAAGAGTACTCCTACACTTACCAACAATCAAATCCTGATTGTGAGAGACAGTCGAGTGTAGAGTCCACCGCCAGGGGCGAAGCCAATTACGGCCCAGAGGGGGCACATGCCCGCCCCCCCTCTCACTTTGCTCCAACCTACTATACATAGGTACATATTTTTGGTATATACATATACTTACATGGTAATTTTAAACAATGTCCCCCTCAAATTTTCAAATTCTTCTAATTTCCTTTTGAAAAAAAAAATATTACATGTATCCATTCTTCAAGTATACAATATATTTTTCCTTTTCTATTTTTTGTTTCCTTTTTCAAAAAATTTCTCTTTCAGTATAATTATGTATTTTTTTTTATTTTTTAAACTTATTTATTTTTATCGATGCATTTGTGATTATATTTAATTAAAATATTATTAATTAATATTTTGATTCTTATATTTGTAACTATATTTTTTTTACAGTATTTATTTAACATATTATTTTACAACTATTTTTTCCTATTTACCTTTTTGATTTTAAAAAATTATACTTCATATTTGTTATATTTATTAATTTTTTTTTTTTTTTTAACAAGTGCATTATGTCCCATCTGAAACAAAATCTTGATTCCGCCCCTGTCCACCGCTACACCATTTCACATGTAATTCTCACTCACAATCGGTACTCGGTTGTCATTAAGAGTATCTTTTTCCATTACTTAAAGAAGTCACGAGGAGGTCCTTAAAACGTGATTTGAAAGGACAATTACTATTTAGGACCTGTTTTTTGACCCTATAAATGTAATCCGAGGACTTTTTGTTTCTTTGATATTGTGGATGGCCTCAAAGTGAACGTCTTACTCGCTGCATCAAAGGGATCATAGGCCTTCGCATATTAGCACAAGTTCCCTAAATTAGTTTAACCTAAAGGTTGAGGATCCACTTCTCAATACAAATGAGATTGGACAGTTCACGTTTGTTTATAAATACACTTTCAAAAAAAAAAAAAAAAAAGCAAATGACACAAATGCCCCTTCGAGTTGATTTTCATAAATTGAATCAAAGACAATAACTTCATTTCACATGAAACTCTTTTTCGATTCTTATATTTACATTGTTAGTAGCGACATTCAACTTTTCGTGTCCAAAACAAAGTATCATTCCTTCCTCAAAGATGGAGACCCCAAGGAGAAAACACCTACTAAAACATATTTAATTTTTAGGTATCTGCACGTTAGAAACTAGGACCAATTGTCCATGCTTGCTTAGTTGTCTTCTTGTATTTTTGAGATTATTTAAATACTAACATTAGCTGGAATTTCATTGCCTATGGTCCCTCGCTCTCACTTGCCTATGGTCCCTCGCTCTCACATTTGGTATATATATAACTATATTAAATTCAAAACACTATAACAAAACACATGTTTTGTTTTTGTATATTGGGTTAAAACAAAACGCCAAAAACAAATTATACTATATCAAACACGCCCTCAGTTTGTGAAGTTGTGGTTCGAATTTTGTTTTGATTTGAATCTCAACTTTGATCCGTTTTCTCTTACAAATCGTGTAGACTCAAGTTGTTGATTCTCTTATAACCCTATATATTAGGATGTTTAGTTTAGGGTTTATTGTGTGAGATGAGAGAACATTGAAAACGATTTTAGAGTGTAAACTTTATATTCCACTTTGAACTATTTATATTGTGTGTCTGGTCACATGTTTATATTTCTGTCAGTTTTTTTAGTTGCTGTACCTTAAAAACTTCTCTGAGTTGTTCTTTAAATTTATCGAAGTATAGTATGGAATATGTGTATGTGTGTGTACATGTCCAGTATGGAATTCTGAAAAACTCTCTGGCCGAGGTGGTTTGGCCATGACCATGGGGATGTCAAATATTATCAGCTGGCAAGAAAGCAATAGCAACAATAATGTGTGTGAGACGCTGTGTGTCTCTGTGTGTGTGTACACACACGTACACATGCATAAATATATGTGGGGATTAATTAATTGGCTGCCCAACACTACTTGATTATCCTTGTAGACAAAGAGGAGACTGTGTGGTCACAATCGTCATATATACCACACACAATCGTCATATATATATATATATATATATATATATATATAGTTAGTAATTCAAAACATGCTTGGTAATGTCCTTTTGTTACAAGATTTTTTGAAATAAAAACATAAAAACATATTTGGTATAAAATTGTTACAAGTTTGAAATATATAATGGTTAGTTTTAAAATGTTATTTAATATTTTTTTTAAAAAAAATTTACTGTTTATCGCTATAGCACCAATGCCACCAAACGCTGCAGTGCGAAAACATGAAAAAACATTAAAATTGGTGTTTCGATTTTTGGCTACTATTCATGAAATGTTTCAACAGTGTGCAAAATAATAATACCCGAAAAAAACAAAAACACCAAAAACAAAACACGTACCAAACTATCCCAAACCCATAATTTCTATACGCATATTTCGCACTTATGACACATAACTTCCAATAATATCAATTGTATCCAAAATAAAGTTTACTCGACAATAATCACACAAAGATACTTCACAAACTAAACTTTAGGTCATGATATTACATACAACTCGTCACATGTTCAAAAAATGAAATACTCGTACTATATTCGGTTACATAGAATTGGTGCATTAGAAATAGAATTAAAACAAAAAAATAATTTAAATTAATTTTACATTAAAATTTTTTCAATTTCAATTCCAAAACATCAATTTCATAAAACGACATTGGTTTTATGGTACATAAAAGAGAGATGTATTTAGAGGGAGAAATAAATGAAAAAAAGTGTGTGGTAGCTCACTTTATTCTTAAATTGACAAGCTGTCATTTTTGAAAGGCACCCTTTCATTTTTATTTTTCATTTTTTAATTTCAGCTTCTCTTTATAGAAAACTAATCAAACATTAGAGAGAGAGAAATAAAAGGTAATCATATCATGCACAGTGCATGTGCCTTAATTATACTAGTCTAATAAACTAGAATAGTATAATTATGGATAAAAAGTGATTGATAAGAAAGAAAACCATCTTTTAAAGATTTTATTAATCTTGATTTGTCTCAATGTTGTCCTTCACTCTTTGGCACTTCTTGTTAGATTAATCTTCCATTTTCATTTCGCTCTCTATGTTATATTCTGTTTGTCTTTGACTCCATTGGTTGCACTCATTAGACCTAATTCAATGAGATGATGATATCGATCAAATGTCACCTACATCAACTTTTTATAAGCATCTCATCTAAGTATCTAACTACTATTTTTTTTTTTTTCTTTCATTTAATTACTTTTTTTTTTTTTACAAAAGAGAAAAATTAGTAGAAAATAAGAGACCGAGATAATGACCTAAAATAATATGAAATGAGGTTATTAAAAATGAGTTTCAAAAATTAAATGTAGTGGTAAATTGACATATAATAAAAAAAGTTTGGAGAGATAATTTATGTGATCGACCCTATTTATATGAAATTATACCAGTCATTCTTGTTCACAGTACTTTTAACTTTTATCATCGTGTTACAACAAATTTGACGAGGAAAATGCTTGCTGTGACGAGTTGGCTCAATCCAATAACCATAGCAACATGGTGGGCCAACCAAAAAAGGTGGAATCCACCACGCTATTGAGTCTTCTCGGGTTGATTCGGCCTAAGCAAACGTGGTCTTTTCGACACCAATGGGCTTTAGCCTATATGAGAAGTTGAGTGTCCTAGTCTCGGCGAGGGCAAAAATATTTGCCAAGTATGTGTGTTTGCTTGAACTTTCAAAAAAAAAAAAAAGTGTAGCATTTTCAACAATTTTTATATTTTTGCTGAATTGGGAAAATGATTTTGAATTAGAAGTAAGGTTGATAATATTGACAATTTGACACTACAAAAAACACTTTAAAAATATTTCACTTATTCAATTCAATAAAAGTGCCTCAAATTTTATGTGCTGGATATTATTTTCCCCTTGAGATTTTATGCATGCAACATATATTTTGTGAATACCCAGGGGGTTGGTGATGGTGGTAAGGTAAGGGGCTGTGTTCTAATATGTCCCGATTTTAAACCCCAACACTCCCATTATGACTCCTGATTTAACGGTGCTGTCGTTGTGGGGCCGGTTACACACTCTTGATTTGTAGTTTGGGGTGGGTCTAAATGGCCCTGGGGAGTTCCGAGTTAAAAAATAAATAAAGAAAGAAAGAAAAAAAATATATTTTGTTAAGTTGAAGCCCTTGAGGTTCAAGTCCCTGGTAAGGGACTAGGGACAAAAGCAGGTATAAGAATCTGATATTATGGGCCGTGGTGGTTCATCCAAATGCCAACAACTGGCCCCAATATCGGGTTCAGACCTACTATGAGCCCAATAACAAAGTCCTGGCAGAAAATAACGATTGCCCTTTTATCTTCGTATCTGGTGCCTCTTTTGGATTCCCCAATCTCAGGTTCAGGCCTACTATGGGCCCAATAAAATACTGCCGACCACAAATAAAGGTCGGGGAAGGTATTGAGTGCGCTTGGCGCATCGTGTACTGGACTCATCGTTCACAACATGCGCCGCGCAGACAACATTTATGGTTCATCGGCCAAGCACCGGGCTCATCGTTCACAACATGCGCCCGTGTATGTACACAACATTTACTGCCAGTGCACGCCCAATATATATTCTAATGGCATTTTATCTTCGAGAGAAATTCTTCCCATATTTAGTGTCATCAATCAATCATATATTCTGTATTTAATTACTTATGCTATGTTCAGTAGGAAGGAAAGAAGAAGGGTGGAAGGAAAATAAGAAGGAAAGAACAATTTCCTTCGTTCGGTAGAGAAATATAAGGAAAGAAAAGATAATAGGAATGATGACTTCTTTCACAAATTTTCATCAGCCCAAATATGAGCGAAAGATGGTAAAGAAACAACCGAGCCTATTATAAAAAATTTAAATTACTACATCACCCTTCATAAATATTTAATAAATCTCATAAATAAAGTAAGGAAAGAATTTAATGATAAAAACAACTTAAAATTTTATCTTTCCTTTTTTACTACCAATAAAATTAAATTATCACTTTTTTTTCATTCTCTTTCTTCCGACCTAACAAAAAGAAAAAAAACTTTTAATATTATTACTCCCAACACATTAAAGTTTTTCTCATATCTCTTGTCATTACACTGCAAGGCGTATGTTTTTTGAGGACTAAAATCTTTTAACGATTTTTGTTGTTTTCTGCCGTTAGTGAATACCGTTGACTTTCACTACTATATAATGGTGAAATATCACACATTGAAAAAATATATATATATATACAAACCAAGTGAGACTTCATAACTATAGTTACGAAATTCACCAACCGAGGAAAACAACTAGTAAAAATAATTGCTAGAGAGAATTTTGAATTTTTGATTCATCTTGTAACCTTAATTAAGAAAACAGATGTTTGGGAAAGACAGTTTATTATATAAGAAAAAGGAATTTTTGAAAATTTAATAAGCTTTTTCTTCAACTTTCTCTTGCAAAGTAGAACAGAGCTAAAATGACTTTCTTTGCTGCTTAAGATGTTTAAGCAGAATGCACATTTTCAACACTTTCAAAAATCTTGTGTAACATGAGCTTTATCTAAGAAATTAACTTAATTAAGGGTTTGTTTGGTGTAGTTTTCTATTTCTTGAGAACTGAAAATCAGAAATCTATACAAAAAATCAATCTGGTTGATAGTTTCTAATTTTTTTTTTTTCAAAAAAAAAAAAAAAAAAAACAAGGGACCCGTTTTTAGCAGAGTTCAAGCATTAGATCAGTCCCTTTGAATCAAAGAAGTCAGCTTGTCCACAAACCTAAATGCAACATGTCTTTTGTAGCACTGGTGCGTTCGCTATTAAAACACTAAACAAATAAATAAGTTGGAAAAGGATAATGATTCTCAAACCTAACAGTCTATACGAGAATGCCACCCGAGGGAATCCCATAGATACATTGGACATGTTCTCGGTTTGAATTTTCGTTCTAAATAGCATTGTCTGTGAAAATATATCCCTAGAAAGCCACAAACCCCCAATTACAGAACTTAATTGCTCATACCATAGTCACCATATTAACACCCACTCAGGTAGTGTCATGGTCAGGGTATAGTTTGTACCTAGCTCTTCTCCGATCAAAAGCAACAATAATCAACACTGAAGGAATTTTTCACCAGCTTTACAAATGACCTGCACAAGAAAAACAGAATCACTGAATCACCCTATCATTTAGCATGGGTCTAAAGACTTTGATGGCTGCCCAAACAATGTAATGCAATAATGTTCAGGAAGGCAATTAATTAAACGGGTTAATAAGATAAATATGTAGTTAGTTACCACCAGTTAAGGCATCCAGAGAAATGTTTCAAGTAATTTTAGCATACTGATTTGAAAAGCAAAGTAATTGGGAAAAAGCTTTGTGAAGTTGAGTTGGTTTTAAAAGTCAAACAATTTTATGCATCAAGACGATTAGGAAAGCAGAAAGTAAACAGTTCTAGCTTTTTATAAACAACTATATATAATTTTGAGAATCTCCTTATGACACACTGATGATCCAGTTTGCCAATTCAGTCACATGCTTTGCCTACCTGAGTTTAAGCACACAAGGTCACAAATTCCTCATCTTACTGTAGAGTAAGTAATAAACTCCCTCGAAGTGAATTGAAATGGTTGGTGCGGAATAGGGTTCCTGCAGAGCATACAATGAGATAGTTTAGTTAGAGAATAGGTCATCGGTGACTGATCATGAAGATTTATAAGGATTTTGACGCACGGTCGAGGCCCATAAACTTTTATCTGGCGAACGTGGGTATCCCTCCCATTAAGATGATTCGACAGCACGGCAACTTGCAACATGAAAGTGTTGACAAAAGTTTCCCTGTCAAAGACATTGGTGAAAAGTAGTTCATGAGATACACAAAGTTACGTCAAGAAATCAATACAAAACTGCACAAGATAGACTCATGGATATTTTCAAACTTAGTAAATTAATTTCCTCAAGCTCAAACACAATGATATTTCTCGAAAATTCAGAACAGAAATATAAGCAACTTTTGGCCCCAATTGCATGCTAATCAAATTTACTTTTGCAACTTAAGACCAATGGGACCAAGCTTGCTGCTAGTAGCATTCTCAAGAAGTATATTCCAATAATTTTGAAAACCCAAAAAAAAGCAATCCTCTAATACTATTTCTTTGTTACTTCATAGTGCATTTTGTTGATGAAAGTTCTTTGAAGTGAGGAGATTATTCCACGTAGATCAAGAATACCGAAGTCAGAGTCCGAGGGGGAATCTAAGCAGCACAAGAGACTCTCCTTTTTTGGTGAGGTTAAGAGAAGGAAGGCAGAGATTAATACCCAAGTAACTCGAGCTCGGGGGTTGTTGGTCTGTCTTTTAGTGACTAATTATCTCTCCTATTTATACTACTTCTTCCAGTTAAGGACCTCTGGTCACGAGGAAAACCCCTCTTTTACCTATAGGTTTAATAGTCATGCCTTTGACGGATGGGACACCGGTAGGTGGCCCGAGGCAATTTGTATCTTGGTTCGAGGGGGAAGTCATATACTGCATTAAATGCGGGTCATGAGACCCCCATCCCTACTCCGCACCTTGAGTTTCGTAAGCAGGTGAACTCGAGATGAGATCCTTTTTCCAGAATTGAAGCCCCATCTGCAGGAAAGAGCTTCGAGGGTAGCATGAGAGGTGGGACCCATCCTACTGGAGTGGGGTCCCTCCATAGGAGAGAGAAGGGTGGCAACCCCTTCCTCGTACAGGATATGCAGTTTCGGGACAAGTAGCTCGAGGTTACTTGGTCTCCTTCAGAGAGATGCCAGGCAGGTACTGGATTGGTCTATTCAGCATTGACCAATTGTAATATTTCAGAAATGATGCCACGCGGGTTGGCGCCGCGGTATGCTCATCTACACATTTATATTGTTCAGCACGCTTTCATCAATCCATCATCAAGGTACAAACCTACAGAAGTCATCTTCTACTCAAAATTATAAGACACATGAGATATAAATCAAGTATTATCTTCAGAGGTTTGAATAAAAAATAAAATAAAAATGCCATCTTTGTTTTGGTAATTTAGATTTCATTAAGAAAACAGAGGACATCAAGGGGGGCATACCCCTGTAATAGATACAAACAAGAGAAACAATGGGCCAGTTAAGGTCCAAAAGGTAGAAACAAAACAGAGAAAAGGAAAGTTAGAATCAGCTTATCAAAATACAAGCAACCTGAATTCCTAAAACGAAATTGAATCGGCTAAAAGAGCAACCAGCAGAGGAAATTATACATCTGCAGAGATCAGAAAAGAAGCAGAAATATGCCTTTACAAAACCTTAGTTACCAAAGCCTTAGAAATACTACAACGTTTAGCAAGTAAATAACATAAAAGATATTAATTTTGTATATATTTTCTTTCCTAGAAATAAATGTGTATGAAAATGTTTGAATTTTCAAATTGCACAACAAAAAATTCAATGCGGGGAGGCAATGCTTAATTTGTAGATTTAAACCTCTTCTTTTAAAGTGCTATGTTCACTTGGGCTTCAATCACTAGGAGAGAAATTCCAGTACCGTTTCAAGCCCATTGTTGCTCAGAAATGTCCACTTATAATTGGTGGTGAGAAGTAAAAACTACATAATTTACTTTTTTTTCCTTCCAGATTTCAGTTTTCATACCACTTTAGGATGAGTATGAAAATACTCTCAATTCTTAATTAAATGTCAATTAACAATGCAAAATTCAGTCTATTACAGTCAACAGGATGGAAATAATGGCCAATTTTCATCAGGCTTCTCAAAGTCCATATCCACCAAATTTTGCAGTATAAAAGCTTTTTAAATTGTATTCCTATTGGTTAATCATTTGTCATACACCATGCTTTTACACAGAAATGACTATTCTCGAAAGCATTAAGTTAATCACGCACAAGGCGCCATATTCAAAAGATTATGCTACGACATTCAAACTAACAAAGAAGATAATAAGAAGATCAATTTGCAAGGAATTTAGGAAAAGCAATGGCACATAAAGAGCAAAAATTGAAGCTTTCATTCCTTACCGAGGATCATTCCCAGATAACGATATATATACCCAACCAGTCGGCTTGACAAGTTCCACAGTTTTTATCTCCTGATAGCATTTGCAAATTGAGTTTAACCATTAACATTATAATACAATAAGGTGTATCCATGAACATGTGAGTGTAAATATATTATATTAGTAGCAAACACCAAGGTAAACTACTCAAAAAGGGTAATCACAGAATCCAAGCTTGAGTAATTCTAAATTCACCTTCAAATTGTGGAAGCCATCGCCGGCGCGAATAGAGATCTTACTAGGCGTGTAGCTCTCATCAAGCTTGAAATCAACATATAGCACAACTAGCTGAAAATTTTAAAATAAACAAATAAATAAATCCCACTTCGTATTCTCAAACCCACCATAACTAAAGAAAAAAAGAAGTGCAGAAGCTAGAGAAATCAGGGACAAACAAAGCTTGAAATCAACATATAGAACAACTAGCTGAAAATTTTAAAATAAATAAATCCCACTCCATATTCATAAACCCTCCATAGATAAGGATTAAAAGAAGTACAGAAGTTAAATAAAGATTAAAAGAAGTACAGAAGCTAGAGAAATTAAGAGCAAAAAACACAATTAAATACAGACTTGGAGCTTAACTTTCTTCTGAAACTGAATATTTACAAGATGAGGCTGGGCACCATCAGATCTGAATAAAAAATAAACCATAGTAAAAGTGCTTGAGCACGCACATATACCTATTTGTGTGTGTATGTATAAGTGATATATATACAGAGAGAAAGGGTATGTACTGCCAGTAGGTGTCGAGGTTGTCATCGCGGAGGGAAAGGACGCCATTGCCGGGCTTGCAAGAGCTGACGCTCCAGGCGGCCTTCTTGGCCATTTCACGGAGGTCGTCATCGACAACCAGGTGCTGGTTCCCTCCGATCAGCTTTCCTTCTTCTTCTCCCTCCGATGACTCCGTGGCCATTTCCGATTATGGATCGACTTCGATTTTACACCCAATATGTATCTCTCTGCAGCAAAAGCCCTAACCTTCAACACTTCAATGTATATTTTAAATTTGAAAGGTATAATTTGCTTAGAGCAAAATATATATACTACAAATAAATAAATATATAAATAAAATATTTAGTTGCTTGATAACTCAATTTAGTAAGTACTTAATTTTTAATGAATTAAGTGTTTGCTGGATAAGACAGTGACTTTAATTATGACTTGTAATTAAAAAAGATGTACTCCTTATAAAAATAAAAATAAATTTTTTATTTCAACTTTTACTTAAAAAATTAATTAGTCAAAAATTTAAATTTTTTAAACAAATAATTTGATTGTGAAACTCTTAGGTGGGCTACCATCTAAATCATATATCCATTTATTTCTTTATTCAGATTCGAAGTGACACAAGACTCCCCATAACACTTAGTAGAACATTCAGCCCCCAAACAAGTGTGCACGTGTTTGAATTCCTCCTCTAATTTATAAAAGATTTTGAAAATTATTTTTAAGACAAAATTGTGCAATTATTTAAAATTTTAAAAAAATGGGGTTGAGAGCATTTTTGTCTCTTGTGAATATCAATGTATCTCTTGTCAACTAACTTAAAAAAAAAAAAAAAAAAAAAAAAAAAAAAAAAAAAAAAAACGAACGAACGAACGAACTTGCAAAAACACTTTAATTTGCAACTAATGTAACCATGAGTTCTAAATTTGTAAATTTTTCACATTATATAAAATTGAAATATTGATTAGATCTCTTGGCAATACTTATAAAATAAAATAAAAAAATAAAAATAAAATGTAAGTCATTGAAATTCACTACAAAAGGGCACTCTAAAAATTTCTTAACTTCAATTCTTAGAGATATGATTTCACTTATAAAAAGAAGTTTTGCATCATTGATGCTTGGTTTATTAGTAAAATGAAAATTAGAAGAATGAGAAAGCAAGAAGTAATGATGTAGCAAAAGCTAGAAATAAAAAACCCTGTAAACAAGAAGAAATGTTGGAAGATGATAATAATAGGTTAGATAGGCCCATACAATTTGTTGGGGCTTTTTGACAGTAGTCCGGTCCAAAGGTTAGGGCCCTGAAAATATATTGGGCTGAAAGACCGGTTAGTCATGTGCTTCTCATTGGGTTAATGGGCTCAACTACAAACATGAAAAGATGGAGATTCGGCGAGAGTGAGCTATGTTGTGGGCTTTACTCATTGACCTAATTAGTATAGGTTTAATTTCTCGAGTGGGTGTGTTCTAGTTTGAGTTCTCCTTTCTTTCCCTAGTTTGCCAGGATTAAAAAAATAAAAGAAAAAAAATTCAAAACCACGTCCAATATATTTCTCATAAAGAAAATGATATATTTGTTGCCATAAAAGGAGCAAGAGCATTTGGAATTACTAATGGCCATACAAGATGTGATTACATGATAAATGTTATAGTGCAAATCAGGCCGAAGAGTTGAGTATTATTCCTTAATTAAACACTTAATTATATTTTGTACGTACACTTGACTAATTAAGAGTATCTGATCATAGGATTCATTTTCTGCAAGATCCTGACTTTCATGCTTTGGTGAGTCTCATAGGATTCATTTTCTGCAAGATCCTGACTTTCATGCTTTGGTGAGTCCCCGATATTCTTTTAATGACTTATGTTCAGGGGCGGAGCTAGAATTTTAGTTTAGGGGGACACAATGTTAAGAAAAAAAAAATTATTTAAAAGAGTAGAAGGGAAAAAAAATTATTTAAAGGAGTCGAAGGAAAAAAAAGAAAAGAAAAATAACAACTTAAAAAGGAAATAATTAAAATTTATTTTTTTTTAAAGGAATTTGAAGAGTAAATTAGGAAAAAAAACTAGAAAAATAAGAAATAATTTTAAAAACTAATAATTTGAGGGGGGGCATTGTATTAAAAAATTCTATATATACACATATAAAATACAAAAAAATTTCTATATCTATAGTAGGCAGGGCCAGGCCAGAGGGGGCAAGTGCCCTCCGGGCATATACTGGCTCCGCCCCTGCTTATGTTGTGTTGAAGAGATATCAGCCTTGCTTATGTTGTGTTGAAGAAATATCTGTATAATCCGATCAATTGCGTAAAGTTTGCGGTCGCAACAAAACCGGAGAAAGTATACATAACACAATTATTTTCTATTATATTAGTATTCCTTGTCTTATATAGTCGGGGAAAGGACTTCTCAAAGTACGGAAGGAGGCATTCTAAAAGCAGACAACCATGCAGCTCTGCACCAAATCATGAGCAATTGCGCAGCTCAGCTAAGGGACGACTATAGGCAAAAGGGACGAAAGCTCCATGAAAGTGTGTGCTATAGTTAAAGAAGAAGTACATTTAAGGTTGGAACAAAATGGTGTATCAGCTGTGAATTTTTTATTTTCATTAATATAAAAAATGTGAATGAGAAGTAAAGGAGATGAAATAGTTAATATGATTGCTTAGTGTGATGTTGAGGTTTCGAGTTCAATATCAAATAAAAATTTACTATCAAAAAGGTAAAATTGTCTATATTTGATTCCGCATATAATGTCTGAAGCTTTTTTTTGGAAAAATTAACATGACAATACGATTTAATTTATGAAAGGCTAAGAAAACCTGATTTTATAATTGGCGACGAAATAAAGAATGATTATTTTGCTTTCTATCTACTAATATGTATAAATAAAGTGGTATGTTGATTGAAAAGTATGATAGAAGCATTGGCAAATTTTTATTTGAAGGTGTAATTTGTTTAAAAGAGACCAAGAGGAGGAGGAAGAAGAAAGAAGAGGAAAAGACAGAGAGATTGCTAAAAGGGTATAAGCTTCGATAAAGTAATGAAAAAATAAATTAATCTTCATTAGCATAGCATTTCACGTTTCACTTAAAATATATAATATGGTTAAATTTTGAAAAAAATATTGTGAAGTAGCCTTTTTTTTTTCTTTCTAAAGTAACTTCTTAATTACTCTATATATCCTACAAAAAGATATCTCTTTTATAAAATCTAACGTTTTAAGAGTGTGGTTTCTATTTTATTTTTTTTAATATAATGATATGAAATGAATTTTTAAATATATCCTTTTTTAGCGAGTCCACATATTTTTATAACTTTAAGGCAAAGAGGGTAAATCAGGAATATTAAAAAATTAATAAATTGAATTTTGAACTAGGACAATTATTTTGGAATCGCATAAAATAGAAAGGTGAACACTCTAATTAAAGTATATGTTTGATAAGACAGTGGCTTAACTTATGACTTGTGATTCAAAAAGATAAATAAAAATAAAAATAAATTCTCAATTTTAATTATTTCTAGGAAAATTAATTACCCATAATTTTAAATTTATCAAACAAGAAATAATCTGGAGCAAATTTGAATATGAGAGATAATTGTGTTGTCTTTTATTGAAGAAAAAAAAAATGAAGCGTGAGAATAATCTTAAAAGTGAGGTAACTAATCTTAGAGAGAGTTTATCCATTTAAAAGCTTAAAAATGTTAAGTGGGACTAACATTCGGCCTATATATATACCCCTTTATTTCTTCATCCAAATCTATCGTGGGACAGGACTCCCTTTGTAACACGTAGTTGGTAGAGCTTACCTACATCTCCAAACAAGTGTGTCGGTAGAAAATATTTTTATGATATAATTGTGTCATTTTTAAAATTCCCAAAAAAAGGGGGGTTGAGAGTATTTTTTTCTCTTGTGAATATCAATGTTTCTCTCATCAACTAACTTTGCAAAAACACCTTAATTTGCAACTTATGTAACCATGAGTTCTAAATTTGTAATATTATCACATAATATAAAATTGAAATCTTGGTTAGATGTCTTGACAATACTTATCAAAAAAAAAAAAAAAACAAACAAACAAACATAAAAATTATAGTGCTTGAGCCCATTGAAATTCATTACAAAAGGCTACTCTAAAAATTTCTTAACTTCAATTCTTAGAGATATGATTTCACTTATAAAAAAAAAGTTTTGTGTCATGGATGCTTGGTTTATTAGGAAGATGAAAATTAGAGAAGAACGAGAATGCAAGAGCTAAATGACGTAGCAAAAGCTAAAAATAAACTCTCTAAACAAGAAGAAATGTTGGAAGATGATAACAATACCATCAATTTGTTGGGGCTTTTGGACAGTAGTCCGGTCCAAATGTTATGGGATTGGGTAGGCCCTGAAAAAATACTGGGCTGACAGACCGGTTAGTTATGGGCTTCTCATTGGGTTAATGGGCTCAACAACAAACACGAAAAGTTGGAGATTTGGCTAGAGTAAGCTATACTGTGGAGATGGGGAATACCCAATGACCTAGTTGGTAGAACGCCCAGTTCCTCGAATGGGTATGTCCGTGTTTGAATCCTCCCTTCCCTAATTTGTCAGGATAAAATAAATAAATAAAAAATTCAGAACCATAATATATTTCCGATAAAGAAGATGATAAAATTGTTGATTGATTTTTAAAATTGATCATCTCGAATTACCCGTGGCCATACATTATGTGATGACAAGATTAATGTTGAGTAGTGCAACTCAGGCGAAGAGTTGAGCATAATTCCTTGATCAAACACTTGCTTATATTTTGCATACATAACTAATTAAAAGTGTCGGATCAAGGAGTTATCTTCAACTTCTCTAACTTTAAATGAAATGCGTTATTTTGCATTCTCCTTGTCGTTTATAGTCGGGGAAAGGACTTCTCAAAGAAGTACGGAAGGAGGCATTCTAAAAGCAGACAACCATACAGCTCTACACCAACTCATAAGCAATTGCGCAGCTCAGCTAAGGGACGCCTATAGGCAAAAGGGAGGAAATCTCCATGAAAGTGTCCATGAAAGTGTATGCTATAGTTAAAGAAGTACATTTGAGGTTACATAGTCATTTTGCCGTCTACAAAGGGAAAAAGTATTGGTACGAAGTGGTGTGTCACCTGTGATTGTGAATATAAACTAGTCTATAAGGAAAATAAATAAATAATAATAATAATAATTAATACAAAAATGTGAATGAGAAGTAAAGGAGGTGAAATAGTTAATATGACGGTTCATTGTGATCTTGAGATTACGAGTT